ACAGCCCAAAAAATATTTTTTGGTCGTCGTCGTCGAAGAGGTCGACCACCCCCGGATCCAGTTTGGCTGGTGGTGACATTGCGAAATCTGGGATTGGCAAGCTTGATCGTGAAACTTGCACCCAAGGTGCAGTTGACCAAGCCAAGCATATTGCTCTAATAAAAAACCCACGTTTGATTGTAAAGTTCGGAGATACAGGCACCTTTATGTTTGTAAGCGTGATGCTATATGAGAAGTGGTCTTTGTTCATTGCCAAGTAGCTAGACCCTGGAGAGCCAAAGATGCAGAAGGACCTCTTTGGGTAACTCAGCTAAAAAGTCAGGACTTCAGGGACGATGCATGACAGGTACGCAACCCTCACTTTTATGTCATACATTGGCAGCTAATAGCCACTTTTGTGCATTCCCGACTTTTGTGCATTCTATTGTAGGTGGACGATGCTCCTGCTCTAGACATTCATTTCCATGATTAAAGTAGGTTGATCCGAGCTGATTTGGTTGAGTTACGCTCACACAAGGTTACATCGGTTGAGCTACATCGAGCGTGCTTGATGTCCAGAGTGACGTAATCTCTCTTTGACCGCAGCTCAGTCAAATCAGCTCGGATCAACCTACTTTAATCATGGAAATGAATGTCTAGAGCAGGAGCATCGTTCCCATGCAGTGGATCTCGCAACAATGATGATTGGATAAAAGTGGCCGTTAGCTAGCAATACATGCCTGTTCCTAGATGATCCATAAAGTAATTGTACATTGACCCTTTCATTCATGCAAACGTAGCTGTGTTACACAACACGACCCTCTGCATCTTTTGCTCTGCCAGGATCCACCTACTTGACAATGAACAAAGACCACTCTTCATATAGCATCACGCTTACAAACATAAAGGTGCCTGTATCTCCAAATTTTACAATGAAACGTGGGGTTTTTATTAGAGCAATGGGCTCGGCCTGGCCAACAGCACCTTGTGTGAAAGTTTCGCGTTCAATGTCGCAAACAGCCCAAAAAATATTTTTTGGGTCGTCGTCGTCGAAGAGGTCGACCCCCGGATCCAGTTTGGCTGGTGGCGACATTGCGAAATCTGGAATTGGTCACGATGAAGGTGAAACTTACACCCAAGGTGCTGTTGGCCAAGCCGAGCACATTGCTCTAATAATAACCCCACGTTTAATTGTAAAGTTTCGAGATACGGGAACCTTTATGTTTGTAAGCGTGATGCTATATGAAAAGAAGTCTTTGTTCAATGTCAAGCAGTATGACTATAATAGAGCTAAAGATGCAGAGGGGTGTGTTGTGTAACTTGAGTCAGTCAGCACGGGCGATGCATGATACTTGTACACTATTTAGGTTTAGTTCCTAAAGTGGCATTCCTTCCATGCGCCTTTGTTGCCCAACCCAATGCATATGAACGGTTGTCCTGCTCCTGCCCAGCATGCCCATCATTGAACTTTCTTGGTTCGAGGTGACATGGTAGTAAGGCAATGGCTGTTGTTGGATCATCATTATCATGTAAAGTGTAAAATGGCACACACCCTTTTGCTATACATTTCTTTTATTTACGTGCACCTATTGTCTATCGTGAGGGTGATGATAATGATGGGTGAGTTGTGTGTTTGGGTGGATGGTGTGTATAGGGTAATTGAGTGGCCTCAGTGTAGTAGCAGTAGGGGATTTAAACTTGGGGACGGTAGCTCCACGGCTTGAGAACCTCTCTACTTTAGTCCCATTCCCCACATCGCCATCAAGGTAACGTATTATAAAAGAGTATTCTTGTTGGCTGTGAGGTGTTAATGTAGTTATGAACATGCATTGTCAGGGAGTGAGTGTGTCCAAGTGCTGATGAATGAGCGTGGTTGGTGGTTGGCTATTGCCATGGCGATACGGTTGCTTCCTCTTGTTCGTTGCTATTCCTACTCTACGCTTGGTGTCAACAGGTACATTCAGAGTCCAATGTTGCAGCCGAACTTGTTCCATTGACGTGTTAGCTTGCATAGACGGCAGGTTTGGTTTCAAGACGTGGCTCGTTTGGCGTTTTGATTCGGCTTGACAACACCTACACCATGGTGCTCGGTTTCCAGTAACCAACAACAACGGGGTCTTTATGTATACGGAAAAGGTAAGTGCAGTGAACAAAGACAGTGGGAAAAGGCGTTTATTGTAATAATGGATGTTACTGTTATTGAAGAGGTTTCTTTGGTCAGGCAGTGCAACTTTTTGGGGCATCATCTTTGGGTTCGACTCCCAGCCTGTACATTGAGGCAGCTTTGGCTTCTTTGATCTATATAGAGACGATTATCAAGGACGACATTGGATACGGAAACTTGTCTATTGTGCTGCCACCCATAGGGATATCCTTTTCCACTTGTATATATCAGCAACAAAGTTTATTGTCTATTGATATGCATTGGTTATCATGAATGTGAAGTATATCTCCTATGATGGATATGGAAGATGTGGGATGAAAACGATACTTGAATTTGATTGGCTCTGACTGGGGGAGCAAGTGTTGGGATTAGAGAACGGTGGTGGGTGGGTGGGTGTGATCATGGTGGACAATCGTGCCGACGAGGAAACCTCCCTTTCCAAAAATCGATCATCATGGTTCGTATCAAGCCAATATAGTATTCATAGAAGAGAGAGAGGCAGAGAAAGGAAAACGATGGATGGATGATAAAGCCAATGGATGGATGAATGGATGAATGATATGATTTAACACCTATGATGTACCCGTTATAGGCTGACGCTTCGACCGTGACCATTCGCACCCGCAAGTTCCTTACGAACCGCTTGCTCCAACGCAAGCAAATGGTTGTTGATGTCATTCACCCTGCCCGTCCCAGCATCTCCAAGGATGAGCTCCGTGAGAAGCTCGCAAAGATGTACAAGGCCAACAAGGAAGTCATTTCCGTCTTCGGTTTCAAGACCCACTTTGGTGGTGGAAAGACCACTGGCTTCGCTCTTATCTACGACAACGTTGAGGCTTTGAAGAAGTTCGAGCCCAAGTACCGTCTTGTTCGCGTAAGTTTTATTGTCAATAGAGATCCAATATCAATACAAGGTACTCAATGTTCTATGTATCATTCTACAGATTGGTTTGGCCGAAGCTCCCAAGGGTGGCCGCAAGCAACGCAAGGAAAAGAAGAACCGTGCCAAGAAGTTCCGTGGTACCAAGAAGGCCAAGGCTGCTTCTGGCAAGAAATAAGCATTGTCATCATCGATTGCATGAATACACTACAAAAGATACATCAACAAAAACACAGCCCATGATATGAAATGATATAATGTGGAAATAGGAATGGAGTTGGAGTTAGGGATGGGATGGGATGGGGAAGAGTGATATAAAAGAGAGATGCGATAGAGATAAAGGGTATGTGTGAGGATAATAGATATAGACTTTGATCGACAACGACACCGACATTGCATATTATTCTCACATGTGCTCGTGACTACAAAAGGCTCGTCTCGATAATGATGCGTTGAGGATCCCAATTTTTTCTTACTGCTTTTCTTTCTTTAGTCCATATGTATCCAGGTGTGCACCTATCTTTACGCTTGAGAACCCTTTGTACGCGTTCGCCTTTGCAAAGCATTACCGTTGACAGCTTGATTCTTCGGCCATGTATGACTCGACACGCCATTGGCATTCACCGATCGATTCATCTTGCGAGCCCCTCTCGTCGTTTATTGCGTAACGCTGAGAACAAGTCTTCGTCTGAACCACAGCTTTTCAAAGCACAAAAGCCTGCATCATCATCATCATCATCATCATCATCGAAGGTTGCGCCTGAAACTACTACATCATCATCCGGTGCTGCTGCTTCTGCTCCTGCTGCAGTGAAGAAAAAGAAGACTCTATGGCAAAAGGTCAAGGATGAAGCAACGCATTATTGGGATGGAACAAAATTGCTTGGACTTGAGATACGGATTTCCTCCAAATTGACATGGAAGTTATTGAATGGTGGCTATTTGACTCGTAGGGAAGCACGTCAGGTACTACTTGGATGGATACATTTGATGCATGCGTGTGGGGCCCATCTTTAACTCCCGATCATTCATAGCTACGACGCACTACTTCCGACATTTTACGCTTGGTGCCATTTGCTGTCTTTGTGATTGTGCCCTTTATGGAATTGCTATTGCCGGTCGCTCTCAAGTTGTTTCCCAATATGTTGCCAAGCACATACGAAAGCAAATCTTCAGGGGTAAGTGGATGAAAAGAAAGAAATGGATAGGATGATTCATATCCAAAAATAGGAGGAAAAGAAGCGCAAGCTGCTCAAGGTGCGATTGGAAATGGCCGAGTTCCTGCAGGAGACCATTGCTGAATCTGGATTTCCTGGATCAGCTAATCCTCAAGCAGCCAAGGACTTTTCGGATTTCTTTAGAAAGGTACGTAATGCAAATGAAAGATAAGAGAACAAACATTGACGTATCTGAGATAGATTCGAATGACAGGGGAACAAGCATCCACCGAAGATTTACTCAATGTGGCTCGAAGCTTTGAAGATGAACTCACTTTGGATAACTTGACCCGTCCTCAGCTGGTGTCATTATGCAAATACATGAACATCAACTCGTTTGGTACAGACAACTTTCTCCGGTTCCAGATTCGTAATCGTATGCGGCAAATAAAGGCTGATGACAAGGTAAGAGGAGGGCATTTATATAATAGGAACGGTGATCTGATGGCATGTATATACATGTGATAGGTCATTCAAAGTGAAGGTATCTCGAGCCTCACCATCCAAGAACTACAAAGTGCATGTGCAGCCCGTGGTATCCCATCCTTCAATATGTCCCCTGGTCGCCTGAGAGATGAACTTGCACAATGGGTGGACCTCAACCTGAACCACCAAGTGCCTACCACGTTGATGATCCTTTCCAGAGCATTCTCCTTCACCGATCGTACCGTGTCTACTGAAGACGCCTTGCGTGCTACATTTAATAGTTTGCCTGACAACTTGGTAGGTGATCTCGCATACAGCCCATCAATAACACGCGCATTATTAACACTGATTTATATATAGGTGAATGAAACGGAGTTGCAAGTACTTGAAATGGTGGGCGAGAGCACATTCAAACAAAAGCTTGAAGTCCTTGAACAACAACAAGAGCTTATTGAGGATGAATCCGAGCAAGAAGAAAAGGAAGCTCAAGCACGACGTGAAGCTCAAGAGGCTGAGATCCAACGATTGGAGGAAGAACAAAAGAAAGCAGCGGACAAGTTGGATGCCTTCATCCCCGATCAATCCAAGGTGAGTTTCAACCACCACCATAACCACGTGCTTTATCATTTTAACTTGTAGCATACAATTAATAGGAGGAGGAAGCAATTGAAAGCAAAAAGGTGGAGAGTCACTTGTCAGATGAAGATAAACAAGAACTTGAAGACGCATTGGCCAAATTGCGTACCAAAATGGATGTCTTGGAAGAGCGTGCTCAGCTGAATGAAATCAAATTCAATCATGAAGATTACAAAGAGGTACTTTTTTTCCCCTCCTCTCATGACGTTCGACACGTGAGGACTAATTTTTACTTTTCTTAGCTTGCTGAACAAGTCAAGGACGCGACGAAACGTGATGCGGATAAAGCTAGTCTGCGTTTAGGCAAGCGACTTGAGAAGATGTTGAGTGAGATCGACCAAGAGCTTGATAAGCTAGAAAAGGAACAGCAAGAAGGGCCAAATGCACAATAGCCTGTTCTGGAAAACACACGTCTTGTATAGAATCGGGATAGTAGTCTACGTGGTAACCAGGATTGTGGTATGGCAATAGATAGATAGCATCGTTTAACAATTTGTGATACCTTCTTTGATAAATAACATTCGTCATTGAATACGATGGGCTATGTTGCGTGTTCTCTAATGGCTATAGTGATGGCTTTTGTTAAGCTGCTATGTATCCACCAGTGAATAATTATAGGTCTATCAGTATAAAGTATACATATGTGTTGATAAACACATGATGTGTTCAGATAAATAAGGCTGAGCAAACTGCAGCATATGAGTTATTTATGGCACAAAGTAAGCCTAGATCCCCAAAGGGCACACATTACCAATGTTCCAAACGGACAATGTTGCAAGGCATTTAAAAAATCTGGGGATTGAGCACATCATGTTCTGGATGATCTTTGTTATTGTACATGTATCAATGGAAAGGTGAGAAAGAGTGCAGCATGCGAGGCAAAGCAATATGCGGGACAGCGGCATTAAAGGATCCGACAGGCTAATTGATCGTCGTGCATTTGCGTTAAGCCCCTTTCCCTTTTAAGATGTGAACGTGGAATTGAGATTATTCTACCTGTTTGAATACACAAGGCTTTATAGTAGTGAATGCTTCAACTAAGATGATAGGATACGATGATTGAAGATTATGTTATGGGATTTTCGGGTAAGCGGAATAAGAATGGGGGAAGGGATGCTAATGATGTTCATTCTGGACCTATCCTGTGTAACCATTGCTTGGATCAAATTTGGAAGATCCCTTGATTGATAGGCACCACCACCACCTGCTGCTACTTTTTTTTTATATTCACTGTTCCTTTCTCCTTACTTGCATTCCACTCATCCCATCAAGCAGCCGGATTGCTTGTAATCATGGTCACTGTCAGCAAAATTGTAAGTGTACAACGGACGCGATCGCCCTATTTCGATCAGGGGAACTCAAGAGAAGATGCCGTGTGTTGTAGATCTCTCGCATTACAGAGACTCGCTGGTCGAAGCTCTATATCTCTACTGCACTTGTACAAGCCTTCATCATCATCATTCTACAAGCATTGATTTGTTCACAAAATACCCTTCAAGCCAGCCGATTACCCGAGCCATCCAATCCATCAGTATTATACTCCTCCACCACCAACGATGACCTGATACCAGAGCGTGCTGCCGATCGATTGGGAAGGATCAAGTGGGAGAACCTTGCATTTATCGGTTTCCAAGTGTGGTTCATTGGGATGGTTTTCGATGCTGTAAGTAAAATCTCCTTTTTTCGCCTTTGATCATGTGTGGGTGTCTGATCCCCTGGTTCCCCTTTTACAAACACAGACCATCTATCAAAATACAGCAGAGATCCTTGCATTGGCCTTACTCAACGCTGTTTGTGCTGTCCTTGGTGCGTTACAAGTCGTGGATGGTATCAAATGGGTCAACGCTCTCAATGATACACACTATGATACGTCACCCCTTTATATGGCAATGCGATTGGAAATTGCTCTCAGCATATCCATCTTGATCTTTGCATGCGTAATGGCCTATCTCAGCTATGAAATGTCTCGTCAATTTGGTTGGAATATCTACAAAAAGATCGGTGCAGATGTCCAAATGCAACGTATGTCTTTGTTTTGGATAGATTTGATGATTGTTACTTACATGGATCGTATTAGGCATGTATCGTATGTTTCAATTCTTTGTCCTGGCACTCAAGATTGATGTTTTCACCGAGTTCTTGGTATCGCTTTTCTACGTCATCCAATTCGCATTCAAATCAAGGACTGGCGCCGTATGGGAAATTGCCATTCAAGTGGTTGTCACTGTACTTATCTTGCCTATGCTCTACTTTGCCCGCACAGCAGTAAGTATACCGCTGAATCAAGTAACACGCTTAAATAACGCATTGAATCTCCTATTAGGGAAGCACTGAAAGCCGCGGTAGAATGATTACATTCATTGTATTCGAAGGGATTGTTGTTGTTCATTATGGTCTTATCCTCAAGCAAACATTACAACCCAACAACAATTGGTACACATGGATCTGCCTTGGTAAGCTCATTGTCAATGTTTTGTGTTCATGTGATGAATCTAATCCGATTTCTCCTTATTTCCAAAGTGGTGATTGGTATTCTTATTGTCGCTGTAAGTTACTATTTTATTGCTATGATACAAGTGTTCAAGGACTGAGTTGTATCTCTTTTTAGGCCACAGCGGGATTGGGTCTTGTCTGCATGAACAACTTTGGTCGGGGACTCAAGATGTATGTCCAACGAGGACGTGGCAAGCAACGCCAGGATTTAGAGATGGCAAAGAACACCGACAACAATTGGCAAATTGACGACGATTAGAAAAAGAAGGAAACACACACACACACACACACATCCTTAAGGAGATCCCAAATCCCTTTGTGGTCCTGCATCCCATTATCATCATATTATCCCTCATCCAATCCCCCCTTCCCCCCTTGTTTTCTTGTTTTGTACAGACTTTTCTCTCTCTCATCCATCATCATTCATCTCAACACGTTGTTCCCCACTCCCAAACGCCCCAACCACTCCACATCCATTGGAACAAAGTACATGTAATTAAGTCATTGTCCTTATTTCTCATCCATGGGCTATTAGAATTGGGAAGGGAAGAGTAAAGAAAGGATAAAAAGAAAGAGAGAGTGTGTGTGAGAGAAAGAGACGTATAACGTTAAGATAAAAGAAAAGGGGGGATGTGTGATGATAAAACTGGTAAAAGGGAAAAAGAAGACTAATGTGATACTCTTTCTTCAAATGGGACAAACAAATCTACGGCGATGGTGGGTTGGAGGTGGTTCGTACGGGAGTGACAGGCAATTGAGGCGACATGGCGGTAGAAGAGGCAGCAGCAGCACTCGAAGGAGTTTGGGGTTGGGTCGATTCCTTGATAGCCAAAAGCTGCTTAGCACGGAAAGCTTCATAATGGATATGAGCGGTAGTTTCAACAAGATCTTGCAAGTGGGTTCTAGTCAAAAAGTTACGCAAGTGAACAAATTCGCAGTGATGCTCGTCCTCGACATTGATGACACCCCAACGAGTCTTTCGGCCACGCACAGCCTTGCCATCCACGACCACGTTTCGTTCAGAGCCAACAATAGCAAAAGGGATGAGCTCCTGTTGTCGTTGTCATTACACATATCGAAGGTAAGTACATGTATAGATACAATAACAACATCACTCTCGACTTACGCGAATGTACTCGTTCAATGCACGTTCTTGTTCATCATCCTCATCACTTTCGTAGGGATACAAACGAATGTTGTGGAAAGCAAGCTCAGCCTTGATCTATAAGGGTCACGTGGGATGAGTATTATGACAATTTCATCGCCAGATCAAAATATACTTACACGTTGTCTAAAAGCATCACGTTCCTCAAAGGTCAAAGAATCCGACTTTGCAATAACTGGAACAACATTGACAACTTCAGAGAGCTTCTTGAGCACGACGATATCAATGGGTTTCAACCTATCATAAATGACCCCCTGATATGTGAGCAAAGGAGATATGGATGCACAAGCGGGGTAGATGTCAACAGCAGCACGTACGAGTGACCCGAAGGAGTGATAAAGAACAAGCAGCAGTGAACACGGGTATCAGTAATGTAGCGATCACGTTGAGCGGTGAGCTCTTTGCGAAGGTAGGCGGAATGCTGATCTTTGATGTACTTGACAATGGGTTCCCAGCTAATAATAATGATCAATCATCTAATCTATATCCTCAATCTCTCTGGCAACTTACCAATTCTCATTGTTGACTTGGTCACCATAACCAGGAGTATCGACAATGTTCAATCTGAGACGTACACCATGCTCTTCAATCACTATGATAGGAGAAACGAAGGAGATCAGTTCAGGGTCAAGTATCAGGGGGTTTTTTGGAACCGGGGCAAGTTCAGGGAAAGCCAAATGGTGTGAAAAGCTAAATGATATCCCAAGGATGACGATGACGATGATACTTACAATGACAAACATTCTCAATCTCGGTAGTTTGACGTGGAGGTTCATCCGAGTTCAAGCGACCCTTGCTGTCAATGAGATGCGAGGCAAAAATCGTATTCACAAGTGTGGACTTGCCGAGACCAGATTGACCTATACACAACGAGAGAGAGAGAAAGAGATGAAAGATACAAAGCGTCAACTACTCGAGTGGTAGCACGCAAGATGAGAATAAAGGACATTACCAACAACCATCACGTTGAATTGGAAACCTCGCTTGAGAAGCTTCTTTTCGATCTGCTGGGTGATAGTGTCGAAACCAACATAGCCATTCAAAGGCGTCTGTAGATCAAAACGAAAGAGAGAGAAGGCAATCGAGATGAGTACGCTTGGTACACAACAACAAGTGTCCACCTTGTAGTGTCAATGTCCAAAGAAGACCATTTACCTGGGTTGCTTCTACTGCTGTGCTTGCCATGATGAGATGTAAAAGTGTAAAAAAGGAGCTGGTTTGCGAGGCACACGCATCACAAGCTAGTTTAAGGGAGTTGCACAATCCACGTGTGACACAACCAAATGCTCTGCAGCAGCAATAACAGCAAGTAGTAGGAAGGTTGCACTAGCAGGCACCAAAGGAAAACAACCATCACCACCCTATTTCTTGACGTGAGCCTTATCCACCATCCCTACTTTTTGCCTTGTCATCATTTCAAACAATCATGAAATCGGATCTACCGTTGATATGGTTACTACCTTGAAGGAGATTCTTGTTGCTATGATACTACCATCCACTTTTACGCTCTTCGAACCTCCCCTTTCTATATATGTCATGTGTATGCATTGCAATTATATAATGTAAATACGGCTTGGACGATCCAGGATTTGCAATGTGAATAAAAAAGCATCATCATCACCAGGTACCACAAGATGGTGGATGATCGATTCATGAAGAAGCAGTAAAAGAGGTGTGCGTTGGCAGAGAAACAATGCCATGAATGAGAATATTACATACATGCATGATAAAAGTTCTTGATTGATAAGATTCCAACACGTGGATGGCAAAATGAAATAGGTTACTTTTTCATATACATGGGAGTGGTGGATAAAGGACACTTTTGGTCCCATGGCATTGGAATAGGGAATGAACCCTGCAACGCATGCAAATGTAGCACGCACATACACGGCATCTTCGAAGCGTACTCAACCCCCTTTCATTTTAGACCATTAGGCAAAACAATGACGAAAATTGAAGCAAAAGCCAATATAAACAATTTGGTGAAGATGTTGTTATTATGAGAGGGAGAGATGATGCGAGGGGAAACAACAGCAGCAGCAGCCAACAAAACAAGAAAGGATTCATAGGACCCTGTACATAGACCCTGATTGCAAGCCAATAGTGCTTTGTTGTTGTGAAAGTGCGAACATAATTGCGCGCGTAAGCTGTGCGTTAATGGCAGGTACAAAGACGCACATGGGGTTTTCTCTTCAACAAGGCATTCTTTTTCTCCTCATTGTGTTTGTACAGCGTGGTGCTGCTGCCTTGATTAGAATACATTATGCCAAGGGAAAGGGGTATGATGAATGACGATGCAAAGGAGGAAGACTAAAAGCAATGGGATGTTCCTGCACGCATGGGATAATATGCTAAGGTGTCAGAAAAGGAAAGGCAAAAAAGTTATTATAGCCAACGAGTGCGTACACAATGTGGTGTGTGTGTGGAAGCTTGGTGCAGATCGCAATCAACAGCGTATGTGTGTTTATGGCGGTACTTCAGGAGCATCCTCTTTGTGTGTGTGTATTTTGGGGGACAATTGGGCGGTAGGAGAAAAGAAGGGATAATGAAGAACACGCAAGCAAAACGCGCGGGCACAAGAAAAGGTTCCCAAAAAGATCAGCTTGGCTTGTCATACAATTAGACCATGCGTACATATGTACGTGCGGCCTGTGTAACACGCTATCCGATACGAGGGGAGTTAAATGTTTACGGAGACAAGCAACAAAAGTAAAGTGGAAACGGTAAATCGCACTGTGAGTGGCAATGATCAACATCGACAGCAACGAACCGGGTAGCAAGCCCGAACGAGCAACGACAAGAAGCGATAATGTACACAACGGCCACATGACAAGTTCATCATGCTTTTTTGATCGGCAACGTATTGTTGCACAACGAGAACAGACGCTTCCCAATTATTGCCTAGATTGTCCATCACGCAGCAGCACAGCATGGCAGATCGAACAAAGGAATAAATTAAACAAGGAGCACACCACCATTTGTTGTCTTTGACACCAAAGGCAAATATGCTCCTGCACATTATCATTTGAGAAGTACGAGAGGTTGGGGGGGGTTTTACGTGAACAATGTACGTGAATTTGAATCAACCCTCCCCTCTCTCATACCTCCCCTCACCTTCATCATCATCCATGACTTATGAAAAAAAGGTTTCTTGGATGTCAGTCAGGGTGTGACCCATGCTTACCGATTTGGTGTTCAAGACCTGTTGTGCTAGGGGAAGAAGCATTCAGCAGCAGGAGATGTGCACGACCCTTTTTGCACAGCTGTTGATCTTATATAAATACGACAGCTGAATGTCATTTGTCGCTTTCTTCTTTACTTTCCTTTTTCCTCTTTTCTTTCAAAGAGCCCTTTTTCTTCATCAATGGAAATTCTTGAACTTGTCAACCAAGACCACGCTCCAACCGAGACACGTCCTTTTGTTTGTTCCATCGCCAACTGCAGCAAGACTTTTGGTAAGCACGATTAGCAACACCTATCATTATACTGGCAACACCGTATTCACATATACTTTCGCTCTTTAAGGTCGCCGCTCCGATCTCGTGCGTCATTCACGCATCCACACCAACGAAAGGTGAGTTGCCACCTTCATTGACATCATTTTCTTATCCCGTCATTGACCCTTTTTACTTACCATGTATTCTATTTTATAGACCTTTCAAGTGCCGTGAGCCTGATTGTGGCAAAAGTTTTATTCAGGTGAGTGAACAAATGCATGTGCAACCGATTTGGAAGGGCGTACGCAGATCCTTACCATGCTTGTCATTTCACATTTAGCGTTCCGCCTTGACTGTCCATATGCGCACGCATTCTGGAGAGCGACCCCATGTTTGTGAATATCCATCTTGCAACAAAAGCTTCAGTGATAGCAGCTCACTTGCACGTCATCGGTATGTTTTCATCTTTTTTGAAATCTATTATTACTCATGCAACCCTATTGACAATAATAATGGCGCACAGACGTACACACACTGGCAAACGACCTTACAAATGCCCATTTGACGGATGCACAAAAAGCTTTGTCCGCAAAACAATCCTCACAAAACACATGAAGCACGATCACGCAACAAATGGTAAACGGCCTCAAGTGCAGTGGCGTCCCTTTATGGAAGAACGCAGATTAGTACAGCAGCAACAACAGCAAACCCAGCAGCCATGTGCTTGCCCAGATTGCTGGCCCTGTTCATCGCCGCCACCTGGTTTGCTACCAGAAAGCCCATACTCGAGTTCAGACGAGCAATCATCCTTCCCATCCTCACCACCTTCAACAACGTGGAACAGCTTGCCTAGCTCATACCGATCTTCTTATTACCCACAACAACCCACTCCCGTCGCCATCCAATATGATGTTTTACCGAGCTTACCTGGATACATGTATATGAATGACAAGTTTTCTTCTTCCATCCGACAACAACATACCGATCTTTCAATGTTCTCGGCATAAGCATGATTTTTTCTTTGACGCTCCTTTGACATACATACATCCACACGCACGCATCATTCAACAACACACCATCACCATGACACAATCCTTTGTCATATTTGCTTTTTCCTTATATCCGATTTTCACCACAACATCATCCACATTACAATATCCATGCACACACACGCCAACATACACCTTCTTAGACACTTCCTCCTATCTCTCGCCGCCATGCTTTTTTTTCCCATATCCATCAACCCTCCTCCTCATCATCATCCCCCAACCCTTTGATTTGTTTACTTTTTAAGCTGCTTTGCGGTGATGCACTTGTACTATGGGCCAACTAATGCTCTATGCTCTTAAATTCTTATGCCCGTTCATTTGTCCCAATATGTCTGTCGTCGTCTCGTACACAACAATGTATATAAAAAAAGCTTCGAATACATTACTATAATAAACCTCACTTATTCCGAATGCTAACCACCCTATGATTTGCCAATAAGGAGAAACAACAACGATTACATAGATGGCTTGAGCGTTGAGTGCCTTTCATGCAGGGAGTGGTGATGTTGATATCCATAAAACAAAAAGGAAACATGCATGGGCTCTTTTGTGTGTGTGGTGCTCCTGATCCCTTATTCTCCTTACACATCATTATACAGAAACATGGATAGATGGATCGAGTCTTTATACTTGTGGTGGAGAAGGGTGATCATCGTCAATCTGCAACAAGTTGATATCTTGTTTGAAATTCTGAATCTTCCTCATTGTCTCGATCTCCAGGTTCAACGTGTCACATTCCAAATCCACGAGACGTTCGAGTAACGTATTCGTCCTAGTCATATGACAATGGCGAGTGTGTGAATGGGTGTGATAAATAAGGGTAGCACCTCTCCCTCCCATTGTTGCCATACCTCTGGTCTGATAGCTCCTCCTTGAAATTTTCCAAAGCTGCAACGATCTCACAGCCTATGTCGCATTGACCATATTATTAAATCATTCTTCACGTACACACATACACACACGCTCTCACAACTCACCTAATTCTGATTCAATTTGTGCACATGTGCTTTCCAATGCATCCGCTTCTTTCTCTTGTTCAACCAAACGAGCCATGACATCTTTGGCAGCTTGCTGTTTTTCATTGAGGATGGATTGAGCCTCTCGCCAATTATCTTCAGCCAGCTTGATTTGGTTTGCTGCTCGAGCCGCTTTGCCCAATTGCCCTGTTTCCACAGCTACTTGCTTATGTCGTTGCAAGCTTTTGAGTTGTGCTTCAAGTCGTTCAAGTTGTTCTTCTTGTTGCTCCATATGGCATCGTGCTGCATAAGCTTGCCGACGCGTTGAATCAACGGATTGTAACTGGTGCACCACACGTTGACGAGCCTCGGTCATCTTCCTCTTTTTCTCCACCACCTGCATATCACGCGCCTTGATCAGGGTGTCCAAAACTTTGACGAGCTGCGATGCGTGCTCCTCACCCTGGGATGCCTGCTCTCCAACTTTGGTAATTTGGTCAACAAGGCTTTCAAGCTCCTTTGTTCCACGCTCCTGTTCTCGAGTTTGTTGCTCCATATAACGATGTAATTCTTCGTCACGACGATCGATATCATTCTATTTTCGACTTGAATGAATAAAAAGGGGACCCTGATTGCATGTTTTCATTTCCCAACGACTTACCGTTTTTTGCTCCAATATCCGTCGACGTTCTTCTACATTCAATCGATCCTTTTCTAATGCATCCTTTTCGGGCAAATACTCTCGTGTCGCTTCCTCCATACGTTTATCCAATCGTTGAATCTCATCTCGATATTCATCTTGTTGCTGCTGTAGATCAGCCAAACGTGACATGAGCTCATCAATCTCGTTTTGGGTATCTTGAACTTTGGCCATCAATTGCTCCTTTTGTCGCTTTTCCTTATGCACGATCTCATCCACTCGACTCTTGTATTCAGCGTGCGATTGTTCCCACATTTCCACCTCGAATGCAATTTCACTATACATATCCAAATCATCATCAGCATGCCATTGTTGGGACAATACAATGACCTTTTTTCCCTACCTTTGTTCCTTTTCAATCTCCTCTCGTTCTTCATGGATAGCTTGTAATTGATCATTGTATATGCGCTCATGTTGGATTTGTAGTTGCAATTGCTGCTGCTCACGTTCTTCCCTTAACAGCTGACTTGCATCTGCTAATTTGGTGGCTGCATTCGTTTCACGAGTGACTAATGTGGCAAGTCGTTGCCATCCATCATAGATCTGCTGATCGAGTTGTTCGTGTACGGTCGAAAAAAGATCCCACCATTTTGTAGTCATTGTCTCGAGTTGATGTTGCATTGTCTCGGCTTCCCGATAATCCTCATTGGCAAGTGCTTGCTTCAACTGCTTTTTTATGTCATCAATGCCTTGGCGTAGCTGATAGAAGATGATGAGTAAAATAGACGATAGGATCCATTCACACTCTACCTACTTGTCCAAGCTGCTTATGAACATTGGCTCTTTTGTTGTAATAGCGTTGCAAGACATCCATTTCACGTTCCTTGTCAGCCTGAATTCTCTTCCATGTAGTCTCTGCAGATAGATGACTCATCGCTGGTGATGTAGTGGTACGTTTACGATGTCGTTGTTGTTGCCGGTGGCTGCTGCTGCTGACGCTGCTGCTATCCATACTCCTCGCTGCTGTCAAGGATGCACTCATCGTCAAAGGAGATCCTTCTTTCTTTGGAAAGGCAAATGCTGATAATGCGGGGGGATGATGTCTCAACAATCTTGCATAAACCAACCACCACCCAGCAGTAGTACCAACCTGGCCCATTATCTGGATCGTCTTCCCCTACTACAAGAAGAGGGTATCTGTTACGTAACGTTATCTATCAAAGAAAACGATGTATTGACTTACGTCTTGAATTGATGAAAGGCAATGCGGACGCAATGGAAGAAGCCATGGATCGCGGTGATGGCTGGTTGATGAAGGTGGAGAAGGTCGGTTGCTGTTGCTGATGCTTTGTTCGTCGATGCTGTTGCTGTTGCTGTTGGTGCTCTTCATACAGCTCATCGGCGAGAGATGCAGATAACATGGAAGGGTTCAAGATAGAATGGCTCCCCCCATCACCATGAGAAGAAGACGTAGTAGAAGAAGTATTACTCATATACATGTTGAACAAATAAAGAGGGGTGGGAAAGAAAAAGAGAGAGAGAGTGCAAGAGAGAGATTATATTCAAACAAGAGGAAATGCATTAAGGTCTTTCCAAATTTGAATGTACAATGGACCAAAAGTGGCCAAGTTAAGATCAGCTACAGCACGTATTCTAAGACCAAGGGTCATCAGTTCACGTTCTAAACCAACCAAAGTCTTAAGGGTATCCGCACGTAACACATTTTGACCTTGAGATACATAGCGCAATACTTCCATCACCCGTTGATGCACCATGCGGTAGATCTCGGAGGTGGCACTGATATGGCGTCTCAACCATCCTGACCACGTCCGAGCATGTCGTTCCACAAAATCACATCCAGGTACAACGCCTTGCTTAATATGTGTACGATAGGCTGCTTCACATACTTCAGTCGCCAATTGGCCGTAATCAGGTAGCTCTTTACAAGACGCCATTGAATCTTGCTGTTGCTGTTGTCGACGAAAGGCTTGAAGCTCACCTTCTAATCGTGTCTTTAGGTTTTCAAGATCGGTCTTATCCCATCGACTGCCACATAGGTAATGATAGGGTATGCAAAGAATGGCAAGGATTAGGATCGTAAGAAACTCAGCTCGGAATTGATGCATCAGTCGATATTGATCATATTGCAACGTGGCAGGAAACGGCTTGCAATCCATGGCAACCAAGCGTACAAGGGCTGATGGGTAAATGGGTGATGAGATATGGCATAATCCCATGTCGACATACTACTTTTTTTTACCTGTATGATAGACTTGCAGAAAGCTTGCATCAGGGTCTGTGCGTGAAGCAGTGAGCCATTTGACAATGATTTCCCTATTGCCCTTGAAATGCCGCCTTTCATATCGAGCACATGTCCGAATCAAATGCGCACGATGTTGTTTCAAAAATTGATTGACACAGCTCTACATTATATAAGATTAGCATCATTACTGGGGAGAACAAATGTTGTATTTACCAATTGAATGGCTTCGATGATGGCAAAGCACTGACGAAAACCACGAGCGTATAATCTCTTCGAAAAGTAAAGTGCAATAAGCTGTAAACGTGGCCAATGTTCATTGGGACACATGGGCTGCAAGATATTGACTACAAAGTCAATCTTGGGTTTCAAGTCAAGTTGGCCACATTCAATTTGCCGTACAATTCGTTCGGGGTTAAGCATGCTGTGTACAGTATCCATGGTGATGTGCATGGGCCATCCAGAATTATACACTCGGCGATCTTGATGCAAAAGGTTTAAACACGCTATCAAGTGATGAAGCAATACAGGTAACACTTTACAGGGCTCGTCTCCAAATACATGATCGAGATGTACCCAATATCGCTCTGTATTTCTTTGTTTGATTTTCCCTGATGTGCCATCAAAGTTGGGCCGAAACCGTAAATGTCGATCGAAAACCAGGTCATGTCGCAGTTGAAAGTTTAAAAGAATCCGCTCGTATGATAGCTCTTTCAACGTGTCAGCATTGATAGGTGGAGTCCAACAACGTTTATTATGTTGCTGTTGTTGTTGTTGTTGTTCAATACGCCAATGGACATGGTGTTGTCGTCGACGACGACTTTTATAGCTGCGACGACTCGTAAGGTGATGTTGGCGTCGCAAGCAATTTCGTGTCAAGACGCGGTGTTGGTGTGTGATGCCAGCCCAGCATGATGGATCAGCACAAAAGCTTTGTCGATGCGTATTTAATTGCTGCTTGTTGGATACTGTTTTTCGCCCACCATCCTCGACACAGCGCTGCAGCATGTCTTGTTGTTGTATTTGTCGATCCAAAGAAAATGAAACGAAAAAGAAAGAAAGAAAGAGGGAGAGACAATGAAAGGGCTCAGTGATAGAGCCCTTGTCAATAACTCTGTGAGCGTGTTGTGTGATCCACACGAGTCCTATTGGGGTTTTTCCTTTGACCAGGATCCCAAAGTGTCGAATACCCATAGAACACAATCATCAAATGTACTTGCACAATGCTTGTATAAATCATCATGCTGGGTCACCACTACCACATGCTCTTTTGCCACTGTCAACAACAAGTAACAAACAAATACAAAGAGTGAGAGAGAGGGCTTAATAATTTTCCATTTGCCACTCTTGCCACTTTTCAGCCCATCCCTGGTGGTTGGATGGATGTAGGGTAACTGCTGCATGCAGCCCAGTGCATCCTCCCTCCTAAGACCCCCATGTCGGAAATAGTACGTTCCTTAGGAAACTTCCACCACTTGCTCCCAGCAACATTTTCAAGTGCTATTCTCCGGATTCTAGTTTCTTAAACAAACCGTTTTACATATCGCTATACCCTAGTTTGCTTTATTTCTTATTTGGATCCACTCAACAAGCACTTAAACCCTTCTTAAAAAACATAAGGTGATGTTCCAGTGATCGACGAATGAAACATCATCCTCCCATACCATGTTGTATACGTGATCCACCACATGTATCTCATCACAAAGGTCATCCATGGTGAAAGTAATCCATCGTTATGTCATTTTTGTGCTTTAGAATTCACGTATACTTTTGGGGTAAAGAAAGATCTCCCGCTTGCATGCGTAAAGCAAATATAGTGTCAGTAAGGGATAATGCAATCATGAGCAAACTTAGTAAAATTATCATCAGCCATACGCAAGAAGAACATGAAAGTCATTTTTATTGTCGATGTTGCTGCTTTTGATGGATGTTGACACGTCCACTGCAATCAAGATCATCATGGCATTGTGTGTGATGTGTTAAAGTGAATGAGCATGTGTGGCAAACACCTTGCATCTGGGGGGAGGTTTGCTTTGATACATTGTTGGTCATCAAGATACATGATTGATAGTAGATCTTTTTATATGTGATCGATCGAAATAGAATACAATCCCCAGTGTATGTTGTTGTTGTAAACGTTAACCATATCTCTTTTAATGTCTTTGATGAATAATGGAATGCAAAAGGTAATAGAGAGTGTTTTCTAAAAGTTAAAGGCGGATGGCAACAGTAACTAGGTTTCCACATCTTGTTGCTGAAGTGTCACAAAAAACGATCAACGCCTTGACGATAGCTCCAATGTCGCAACCCGGGTGATATGCGCGTCGTCGAAGCCATTAAGGCAAGGCAAGAAAAAGCTTGTTGGTTCCCCTTTTTCCTCCCATTTCTTTTCCCTCGCCACATATGAAGTTGCTGCTATTCATATATTGTCTACACTCGTGCTTGATTGCGATAACGGCGTTCCCTTGGAAACGGCAAGAGGAGGAGGTGTTGGCGGAGGAGGAGGGTATGCCTTGCCATTGTCGTTCATGAGTATAGCGATCTCATTGTCGTTTGTGTTGATGCAGCAGTCGACTCGCCATCAGCGTGTGTCAATCAAGAGAATGCGTTTGGCATGTGTTCGCCTACTTCCAATGACGTGTGGTACAATGGTAGCCTATATGAGCTGTCGTGGAATTACAAGTAAGAAAGGACACCAAAATGGGGCTGAGATCATTTTTGACTGACATTGTTTGCATGAATCTCTCAGTAACCCAGCATTCATCAATGACGAGGTAAGTCATGAACATCCTCGTTGCCATGCAATAAATTAATCCCAAAAAAGAACATTATCAACTTGTATCTACTATATCAATCACCCAATGGTACTTTTGAGACCGTCAAGAAATGGGATGATGTACCTCGGCTACCTGGATCATTGGTGACACAAGTTGACGATTCGTGGTTTCCATCACGACTTCCTGATAATGCACCCAACAAGACTTGGAATCCTTTTTTCTTTATTCTCACTGATGGCTACAACATCCAAGAGGAAATCCAAGAAGGCTCTACATTTCCTCCTCCTGTACGCTTTACTTTGATTCGTAAGTCGATCCCTTTTATCATCTGCCAGTGGTGGATGTTGTGTGGTTGTGGTGGTACAGCAGGGAGAAAAAGGTCAAAGGGGAACGAAGAGCATGTTTTGGATAAGATAGTTTATTGGTTACGAGGGTCTATGTTGTGTATCGTCAGGGGTTGTATGGGGCCAAGACAAGGTGAATCAAACTACAACTACAACAACTCGCTCATAGTGTCATCAACAACATCCCTATTTTGTTAGAAAATGCCAAGGATAATACAACGCGTACCGAAACACATCCCACGGTGGCAGATAATGCAGCATCCACAAATGGCTCATCTCCGCTAACAGGATGGATGATTGCAGTAATCGTCATTGTTTCGACCTTGTTGTTGGTTGCATTGGGTGCTCTTGTATTCTTTTGTTGTATACGCCAACGCCACCGAAACGACTCACATGAACCAGCACCTGCCTCTGTACCAGTATCATCATCACCCTCCCAACCAGCAATAAACTCAGGCTTAATTGGAGAAGATCAAACAACACTAGCACAAGAAAAGGGCATCTCGGCAACAGGGGTAAGTGCACCAGCGGTGCCTCGCCCCTTTTCTGCACACGACTTGTCGTCGATCAATTCGTTGACACCGATCACTGGTCCACGTGGCGGAGGTGCAGTATCACCACAATCTACTTCAACTCCACAAAACGCAAGCGAGATACAACAACAATCAGCTACTACAGCAAACATGGATCCTCGACAATCGAGCTCAGTCCTTAGTTCAACCGATGCTATCATGATTGCTGATACCTTTCGTCAATTCATGCGGAAACCAGAATGGAAGAATAACAATGAACATCCCGGAGACGATGATGATGATGGCGATGAAAACACCTTTAAGCAATTGGATGAAAGCGAACAACGTAAACGATTGGGTGATGAGTTATTACGAAAGGAGCTTGCAGAGGAAGGGACATCCGTGTATCAAATTGAGCGACGACCAGGACGCTATAATAGCAAGAACCAAGATGATGATTAATAGAAGACGAATACCCTCTTGTTTATTTACTACTTGTTGTTTACCCATCCCAGACTCCTTTGTAACTTCCTTCATAAGCTAATCTAGTAATCCTCCAAATCCTCCTGTTAAACAATGTTGGCAGGGATCTCTCTTTGTAAAACAATTTCATATCTTTATTGGCATGTGATGGAGACAACTTTTTAGGCTATATGGATGTTTATATAGGAGCTGCTCATTCAAAAACATTGTGGTTTGAAAAAAAAAGTGATAGCCGGGAAGAGGCATCCGATCCAAGCGCTGTACAAAATGCATGATAAATGGTACTGGATTCAAAAAGCCACACAAACATCCCGCATTGTTGATAATGTCTTTACGTAACGCGCTCAACGGTGTGTTTGCTATCTATAAACCAACGGGGTGGACGTCTCGCGATGCCATCAACTACGTTCAAAACTCATTGTCAAAGCAACTACGTGGCGATTCCACGAAGCGAATTCGAGATCGTGACAAGCTCAAGATTGGACATGGAGGGACACTGGTAAGGCTTCAAAAAGAAGGGGCATCGAAAGGCTTTTGATAACATGGATGCTTTAGGATCCGCTGGCGGAGGGTGTCTTGAGTAGGTCAAGGCCAAAAAAGATGATGGATTTCGAGGATACTAATGGATGATCTCTTGACACAGCATTGGGCGTGGGTTCAGGATGCAAACAGCTACATGGATTACTACAATGTTCAAAGGTAATAATGATCCCTTAGTGTATGCTATGAAAGATGAGCTGATGTAGGGTATTAGGAATATGAAGTACAAGCCAAGCTTGGATATGCGACTGATACATACGACTCTGAAGGCCAAGTGACACATAAAAGCAGCGGGGCGACCATGTCTCCGAGCCAATCTCAAGTGCTGTCGGTGCTGGATCAATTTCGAGGGCAAATTCAGCAGGTGCCACCAATGCAAGTGTTTAACAAAAACAGCGACCATATTTAGATGCTTGTTATTGACGTGCATGGTATTAGTTATTCGGCCATCTCTATCCAAGGAAAACGTGCTTACGATTATGCACGTCAGGGCATTCCCCTCCCCAAACCCATCGAGCCACGTACGGTTGATATCCATGAGTTGGAATTGCTTGACTATTACACAAAGGATGATGATACATCAATGCGTCTCAAAGTACGATGTGGAGGAGGAACGTATATGCGTAGTTTGGTACACGACATTGGAATTGAGCTTGGATGTTATGGTCATATGACTGGATTATTACGTACTGAGCAAGGTGGATTCACATTGGATGATTGTCTTACGATAATTGACGCCAATGGAAATCGGTGTATCTCGTTGGAAGATGTAATTGCAGCCATCGGACGCCGAAAGAATGGTCATGCATAAAGTCAGATGTTTGCCTCTGTGTATGTGTATGTGTGCGTGTGTGCGTATTCAAGCCAACAAGGTGTATGTAATATAATAGAATAAAGACATGAGTATTCACACGGACGACTAAGGGGAAGGGTGAAGATAATGGGGACTCGCGTGAATGTGTATATATATCTATGCGCGTGTTTAAGGCATAAAGAGTAAGGCGATCACTCCTTTTTCGCAGCGATTAAAAAAGCATTTGCTTGTCTCTCTCTCTCTTCTCTCCCCTTGTAACTTCCCCTTTTTGGTTCTGCAGTGTTTTTTTCCCTTTCCCTTTCCCTTTCTTTCTTTGTACAAGCATTATTTTTACAACCCTCATCATGTCCATCGCACAGTGCATGCCTTCCGAGCTTATTGTACACATTCTCAAATACCTCACTCATCCAACCGATCTCTCAAGTTCAGCGCTCACATGCAAGTCATGGAGTCTACATGCTCTGGAACTACTTTGGTACAAGCCCAATTTTGTACAAGCATCTGCGTGGGTCACTTTCTGCAACGTTCTCAGTGAGACGAGGCCGACGTTGTTTCCATATACACACTACATTCGGCGCATCAATCTATCGTTGCTTGCATCTGAAGTGAAGGATTCCCACCTTACAGCACTCAGCGTATGCGAACGGCTTGAGCGAGTGACGTTGACCAACTGCTCCAATTTAACCGACAAAGGGATTATGGATTTCCTTGGGACCAAGCCGAGGAAGCATTTGGTATCAGTGGATCTTAGCGATGTTACCAGTGTTACGGATGCCAGCATCAAGAGGATAGCCGAGACATGTCCACATCTTCAAGGATTGAATTTAAGCATGTGCAAGGAAGGATTGGAACCATTTGTGGGTGTGACAGACTCGAGTGTGATCATGCTTGCTCAGCGATGCACCGGTCTACGACGGGTAAGTGGTGGTGGTGGTGGTGGTGAATGATTTTATATCGCATCATGTGTTGAATGACTATATTTATCATCCCCTTTCACATATAGATCAAGCTAAACAACTGTGTCAATATCACCGATGCATCAGCCATTGCCCTTGCAGAACATTGTCCAGCTCTTCTTGAAATCGACTTGATGAATTGTGCTGTCACCAACAAGGCTCTTTATTCCATATTCGAGCGGAGCCATGAGTTGCGTGAATTTCGTCTCAATCAATGCGCCCTGATTACTGATAACGGTTTCACACAATCGGCATTGGCAATGCCACCACCACGTACATCATCACCAGGACATCACTATTATGATCAACTTCGTATCCTCGACTTGACAGCAATCTATTCCATCACCGATGAAGCTGTAAGGTTGATCGTATCCGTGGCTCCCAAAATACGTAATTTGGTTCTCAACAAGTGCCTCAACATTACCGATGAAAGTGTGCTCGCCATTTGTCATCTGGGTCGATATTTGCATTATCTTCATTTGGGTCGTTGCCATCGTTTAACCGATTTTTCAATTGCACAATTGGCACGTCATTGCACTCGTATTCGATATCTCGATCTCGCCTATTGCGAAGAACTCACCGATCGCTCCGTAATTGAACTTGCTGCACTACCAAAGTTGAAGCGGATTGGATTAGTAAAATGTACCAACATCACCGATGAGGCCATATTTGCATTGACAAACCAGCCACGAATCGCCAATTCGCTTGAAAGAGTCCATCTCAGCTACTGCACAAATTTGACGATGCCTGCCATTATGCAATTGGTCAACTTTTGCGATAAACTGACGCATCTCAGTCTCACCCATGTGCCTGCATTTATACGGCCTGATCTACAACAATTCCGTCGTGCACCACCCAAAGATTTCACACCACAACAAAGAGAGGTCTTTTGTGTATTTACTGGAAGAGGGGTACGTGAGCTACGAGATTACTTTAACAGCATGCCGCCAGAAGCATTTGACGTACCAGCACCCATGACAACTCAACAACAAGCTGCGTTACATCATCATCATCATCACCAACACTACCACCATCACCAACAACAACAACAACGACAACCACAAAGGCGCCTACAACAGGTCCAGGTGATACAGCAAAACCAACAAAGAATACTCTACGGCAGAGGCACACTCGATACCCTATCAAGTACTTTCCATTCAACTATTCCCATTGCACCAGTAAGACCCACCGAGGCAACCATTCCCGCTCCTGTACAACCTGGCGATCAGCATCAGAGACTCGCAGATCATGAGACGGATGATATCGATGTATTATGAACGTTTCCCTATTTCCCCCTCTTCTCCACTACCACCACTACTCTCACATTTCTCAATCACACTCCATTATTGCGCATTTGCTCTTTCAATCTTTGAACAAGAATCATTTCACTGTTACAATCTTTTGTCGTATGCATTTACGGGATTGGGAGGGATAAGGATGTTACATTGAAAAGGTATCCAAGGCATGCTACACTTACGTCATTTGTATCATAATGACGTTCTTACGAAACTAGCATGATAAATGAGGAAAAGGGATCATGCAAAAGAGGGATGGGCATGTAGCAACCATGTTGGAAATGAAGTCGTTGTTGACCATAAAAGCTTTATCATTTGTATGAATGTGAGAGAGATGCGACGAGTAGGGTGGATAACTCTGCTGCTGAGATGGCAACCAGGAACAATCACATTTCCTTTTTGGTGAGACCCCGACGGGGCATTTTCCTTTACACGATACTTGGACGACTATTCCCCTTTGATATTCATCCTTTCATCCATCCACATCCATCCATCCATCCATCTATACAACTATTAAATCATGGGTGGTACGTAACATAGCAACAACATTGAATGATACGCGTATGATGCTAACTTTGCTTTAGCCTACAAATACCTCGAGGAACTTTACAGAAAGAAGCAATCGGATGTATTCCGTTTCTTGCTTCGCGTGCGTTGTTGGGAATACAGGTATATACTGGATCCTTTGCGACTCCAAACTCTTTAGGCTTGAATTGAACCCTTCGTGGTTTATTCATCCAATGAACTTTAAAGTACCCACGCACTCACACACAAGCGGTGAATTAGACAATTGAACGTCGTTCATCGTGCTTCACGCCCATCTCGTCCTGATAAGGCACGTCGTTTGGGCTACAAGGTAAGTTTATTGAGGATTCAAAATACAACAGGGTTAATATTGGGATGTTAGGCCAAGCAAGGCTATGTGATCTATCGTATCCGTGTTCGTCGTGGTGGCCGCAAGAGACCTGTTCCCAAGGGTGCTACCTATGGCAAGCCTGTCAATGAGGGTGTTAGCCAACTCAAGTATCAACGTTCCCTTCGTTCCACTGCTGAAGAACGTGTTGGTCGCAAGTGTGCCAACCTTCGTGTCTTGAACTCTTACTGGATCAACCAAGATGCTACCTACAAGTACTTTGAAGTCATCCTTGTTGACCCCTCCCATAAGGCTATTCGCCGTGATGCCCGTATCAACTGGATCGTCAACCCTGTTCACAAGCGTCGTGAGGCTCGTGGTCTTACTTCCATTGGCAAGAAGAGCCGTGGTAAGGGCAAGGGTCACTTGTACACCAAGACCAAGGGTGCTGGCCGTTACTCCAACTGGAAGAGACGCAACACTCTTTCCCTCCGCCGTTATCGTTAATCATTGTATATCTCTCTTTCATTGTTATTCATGTTTTCTTTTGCTCAATGTCATTTTATTGTTGTCTATTGTCACGTTCATCAAGTGCTCGCAAAAGAAATTGAATTCGATACTCGGCTTTGGCATTTGCCTTTTCCAATTCTTTGACTTGTTTACGCAATGCTTCGACCTCTTCTGCATCAGCCGTATTGGTTGTCTCGTTACCATTTTTGAGTTGAGCCGCTATTGTGAGGGAAAAGGATGTGAGATTTTTGGGATCAAAAAGGGGTTGTGGTTGGTACCCCTGGCAATGAGGATGATGATGAAAACCCACCAGCTGCCAATTGTTGAAGTTCTTTGACTTGTGCTTGGAGAGCATTAATAGCTACCTCCACAGGAACGCGGTTGAGGCTATGGTCGCTGTTGTCGTTGAGCTTGGATGCGAAATCGTTTTCGGCTGCCATGGTGACGGTTGCGAGGGGAAAGAAGAAAACAATTGCTATTTTTCCACACACCACAAACCTGTCATTTTCGATCGGAGTGAAACAAATCCATCATCCATCTCCTCTTCCCCCGCACATCACTGCTCCCCAATCAAGCCCAGCACTCTCTTTTTCTTTCTTATTGATGGAGTAAATCATCCTGTTTGCTCATAGCATTTTATCAATGTCGTTATCCAATGTCATCAACAACTACAATTGTGGAGGTTTTGCTTATAGACCAAAGATGAGAGCACAATTAGCTATTGCAATATGGTCATCGCCAACCCAAGACTATGTATATACGTATGTAGATCGTGCGATTAGCTTATTGACTCTAGTGCTTTCATAATGTTTATTTTTGTACCTACGATTGATTTCATGCATATCATCTATAAAGTACGTGAAACGAGCAAATCCAGGAACGTTTGTGCTCAACACGTTTGACAAAACATTGATTGTGCAACAAAGGCATTTGCTTGCTCTTTAGTCACATGGCTGAAGCTATACCACCAGCGCGCAAGAACGAGGCATATGCAAGCTGCAAGTTAATGAGAACAATATGGGTGGCATTATACGTAGCACTTGTGTAATAAAGCCTCCCAGATTGAAAGGGATGGATTGAATTAGCTGGACGACAGAAAGGGGGCTGATAAATGAAGGCTTGATGAAATTCAATATAACGCGCTTAATTGAATGTTGTTATCCAGCTGTCTGGAGTAGTGAATCTCTATGGGTGCGGTAAAAAGGAAAGATTATAGGCGGAGAGAATGATGCACATCCATCATTATACGTATGTAACAAGTCATTGGGTCCATTTGTGCAATGGCTCTTCATTGTAAAAAGAAAATCAATGAGCTCAAGGTTTGTAGAGCCTACCTCGGCATCGTCATTTTTCTCATGGTGAACGTTTTCATTGGGAAATGGTTGCACACGAGCAAAGCCCAAATCTCGGGTTCATAACAAACAAGGATGATCCTTACAAGATTTATGGTCGGGAAGCGATAATCTGCATTACCTAAATACGTAAACGGTTGCTATTGCGATAATATGCAATCTTGAATAATGGCGTCAGAGACAATCAACGCCGCTTTATTCTTCACCTTAATGCTTTGCAGCAAGCAGTAACAAATGCAAGATCTTGAAATGGCTGATGCTGCTTCATTTTAGTATTCGTGCCTGCTAATGTATGAATAGGTAACATTAGACAAAAAGTTAGAATACAGTGGGTGCCACCGCAGCCTTTAAACAATCGTCTTCTTTTCCTTGCATACACCATCATCATGTTTGCATCTTTTTCCATGACCATGAGAATACATCCAAAGGCCGCGGTATAAAATCGGGCATTATACATCATTTTCATGCAAAAAAGGCTGCCGTAAAGAAAGGCTAGGTCCAGACACGCATATATATACATACAGCATGCTGTGATAATGTATGGGTCGCACAATGTGATCCTTTCTCTACAATGTTTTTGGTGTAACACGAAACTCTATTGTTGCAAAAAGTGGATACACAATGTTAATCCCATTTGTTTCCCTCTCTTTTCCTCTCTTCCCTTTCCCTTATTCAACCCCTTTTCCTTTTCTTGCCTTCACATGCTTTCTACGACATCGCTCTTGGAAGACGACAGCGAATATGGACCACTTTGCAGTGGATGTAATAAAGATATCGAAGAAGGCTCTGTGATCGCCTTTGGTGACGCGCTCTTCCATCTCCACTGGTAAGTGTGCTGTGAAAGATAACGCATACCAACCATGCAACGACACCACTCCTTTTGTAAATTACTCACCCATATCTTGATCACGCACGTGCAACAGCTTTGTCTGTGCCAAATGTCGTCGACCAGCAGACTGCGAATCAAACCTTCTTCTACTTACCGATGGCAGACCGGTATGCGAGAATTGTTCTTACACTTGTGCTATGTGCAAACAAGTGATTAGAGACGAGGCAATCATGACAGGTAATTTAGCATCATCTCGATTACTATATGTGTCGCCACCTTTCCTTTTCCCAATGCCACCATCCACTAATCCAAAACCAACCCACCTTGTGAACCAACAACAGGAGATGAAGCCTATCATGCAAGTTGCTTCCGCTGCGTATCATGCAAACAGAAGATTGAGGATCTTGTCTTTACACAAACAACCAAGGTTAGTTATCTTCAGCCGTGTGTGTGTGAAATGGAGATCTCTTAATGCATATATACACATGTACGCTAAATCACAGTGTCACACCCTACATGATGGTTCTCTTGTTTTGTGCCGTGCTACGTTTGCTTAGGGAATCTATTGCACACCGTGCCACGAAAAACGGAGATCAGAAAAACAAAAGCGTCGTGAAGAACGTGAACGTCGTAAACAACAGCAACACAATATAGCTTATGCCTCAAAAAGCTTACCATCGCTCCCATCAGGATTACAGGTATGTGTATAGCAGCTATTTATGTGGGGGTTTTGTGTCCCTGCTGACCCTGCACTCTGTGCAACTACAGCAGCTCACATGTGGGTGCCTTTTTACTCCCCCCCACACGCACCCCTTGTACGGCTATTTTGGATCGACTCACTTTTTGATAGATATCAGATGAGCATCAACACCAACCCTTGCCAACAACAACGGGTCTTTCACCCACACCACGTCCTCATGTGGATCGTCCTTACATGAACAATCGCCATGCTAGTCGATTGATGGATGCACAAATGGTCACAAACTTTATCCAAACCGAGGAAGCTGGCCGAATGACCAAAAATAATACGACTGATTCACCACCCACACCTACACGATCACGAAGTACATCCATGGATGATCAACGACCTATTACCAATACTATTGTACGCCCCATGCCATCTCGATCTGAAACCATCCCTGCACCAACATCAGCACGTGCACGACAACAGCAATTACTGTCACCGCCCAATAGTGGCAAAAGATTGTCAGCCATACCGGATCAGGATGATTCCACATCCTCATTGGACCTTGCATTACCTGGTATTCCATCCCTCAATTTTTCATTCTTTGAAAACGATTCAGCCGAGATATTGAACCTTTCAAAGGATTTGGGTGCCAGCATTGACCTTGATATCAAAAAGGAAAAGCAACAACAAAGGCAACAACAAGCCAAGGGTGGCAGTGTAAGCGATCCTGTCAATGAAATGCTATCTCTACTTGATTTCCCTACGCCACCAGCAATCTCTGAGAAGGATCTTGGATTCGTGCCCGATAATGTGTCACAACTCAAGGACGAGCTTAAATTGTCCAAGCGTAAATTAGCGGATACTGAAGCTAATTTCGACAAAATTAAGGTACGCGAAACAGCCTTTTCCAGTTCTTTGGGTCGCATGTATATATATGTATATACATCCCATTACTCACATGTTGCTCTTTTTATATAGCAAGCTAGCAAACGAGCATTGGATGAGTTTTCACGCACCAAAGAAGAGTACAACAAGGAGACATCATTGCGTGAACAACATGAAGCCACCATCTTGCAGCTACGACAACAAATGGCATTGCTTTTACAAGCACAAGATCCCGAGAGTTTTGCCGCTCGTGCCAAAGAAGACATGGAACGTCTAGCAAGGATACGTGTTGAATTAGAACGTACGTGCCAAGAACTAAAAGAGTACCGCCAATTGCTATCACAAGGCATACACCATGACGCCCTTGCCATCCTTAAAGGCACCTTGACAGCTGAAGTGCGGTCATTGACGGTGGAACGTGATGCATTAACGCAAGAGACACAACACCTCAGCAAAAAACGCGATGAAGTGATCAATGAAATGATCATGCTCAATACCAAGAATGCGGAGTTGACCAACATGAACAATGATCTTTCAAGGCGTGTTACCGAGCGTGAACGTGAAGCAGCAGCTGTCATGGCAGGCACCAGCTTTGTAAGGCGTGATTCAAGTAGCGATAGTGCCAACAGTGCTATGGCCATGTCACCCACAGGAACGACAACAGCTGCAGCAGCTGCAGCAGCTGCCGCCACCAAATTTGTTACGCGTGATAGCTTTAATGGCACCCAAGCACCAAAGATTTTCAAAATCAAAAAGTCCAATGTCTTTGGTAAAAAGTTCAAGAAGGAACAACAGCAACAACAAGCACCTTATGGTATGGTCAACAACCCATCCAGCATGTCCCTCAAGCATGAGCATACCAAATCACCATCATCCTCAGGCCATTCTTTTCAAACCATTACGTCCTTCCTTCGGCCGGTCCGATGTGATGTATGTGGTGACAAAGTATGGGGAAGATCCGATTTAAGATGTCAAGGTAATAAGCTTAGCCTTTATTTATTATATGCACCCCACTAACGTTCATGTTTTGAAAGGATGTGGCTATGTTTGTCATTCCAAATGTTTGAGCCACGCACCTCAATTGTGCTTTGAAGGTGGTAATAGCAGTGGGGACTTGCATGAAGATTTGTTGTCGCCAGGTGAGCTTAAAGAGTGCCACAACAACATGCCTATTTACTTACCAAGAATGTCATCCACACAGTCGATTGTAGTATGTTTGGCACCGACCTATCAGAACAAGTAATCAGAGAAGATCGCACGGTGCCACAAATTGTTGAACAATGCATCAATGCTGTTGAGATGCGTGGATTGGATTACGAAGGCATTTATCGTAAATCTGGTGGAGCAGGGCAAATGCGGATGATCCAGCAAGCATTTGAGCAAGGTTTGCCCATCGATCTTGATGATGTTGAAGAAGTCAATGATATTTGCGCAGTGACAAGCGTATTAAAACACTACTTCCGACAATTGCCTAATCCTTTGTTGACCTACGAGCTATATAGCCAGTTTATTGAGCTTGCTTGTAAGTACATAGATGGTGCGTGATCATGATGAAATATCTAACCACAGCTGTCGGTAGCTATTGACACGGCTGAGAAGCGATTCGACACATGCATGACCTTACTTTCACAACTACCACAAGCCAACCATGATACCCTCAAGGTGCTAATTCAACATTTGGCTCGGTAAGATATCCACTCAATCCCACTTTTTACTATCCCATCATGCTGACGACGACCTTTTAGCGTTCGTTCAAGGAGTAGTGAAAATCTCATGACAGCCAAGAACCTTGCAGTTGTGTTTGCACCGACATTGATGCGTGACAGGGATCCATCTCGTGACCTGCTTGACATTAGCTACAAGAACGCAACCATTGAATATCTCATCAATCAATCACAGGAACTATTCCCATAACAGATACCAAAGCGGAAATGGAAGAAAAAAAACTTGTATTTAGTCAAATTATATGTATGTATCTATATAAACCCAATGAAAATATACATAAAAACGGGACGTATTCCTTGGTAGGCATGTTCACTTTTTCCCTGAAACGGATGTCGATGGTTTAGCGGGTGTAGTATTGGATGTTGAGGCTTGTAATAAAGGTTCAGTTGGAGGAGATGTGGTTGTAGCTGATGAGGATGGCTCATTGGGATCATGTTGTTGTCGTCGTTGTTCCTGTTGTCGTTGCTGTATACGTTTGTACAAGTGATTCTCCAGCAAAACAGCATTCCGAGTGTTGCATTTGAAAGCGATATCCATCAAATCACCCACGATAGGAACCAATCCAACCTAGTTGTTGAATAAGATGAGCATGGTGACACCACACACATCCATTGCCATGAACACCCATTCACTTACCAAAAAATCCAATACAACATTTGTCATCATCTGAGAGACCACGGGCTGTGGCAGGTCAACTTGCATGGCTATTTGCACGAGGTATAATGCAAGCAACATCCCAGCAAAATCTCCAATCACTGTAACCAACGTTAATACTTGTATTCCTTCTCCTTCCAACAAAGACGTTACGAACCTGGTATCAGTCCTTTTGATGAGAATACAATGTTGGTTAGTTTGGGTGTGTATGTAAATGCTTGATATCTGTAAAACTCACCAATAATGGGATCCACACCCACTTGACAGCAACAGCAGCCAATGCCCTTGTCAAGCCAACGCGCCTGTTTCTTGACCTTCTTCAGCACGGCTCTCTCGTGTGGTGTGAGGTAGTCCAAGGGATCAGGTTTACGTTGCCAAAAGTATCTCTTTTTTTGTTGCGATGCCTCCATTTCAATAACGGTCTGTTTCTGCAGCTCGGATCCTGGAGCTTTTGGGCGGTAAGGTGCTAAGACTTGTTGCACGCCATACTTGATGAGAGCATCCTTGTTCATTGCGTTGTTGAAATGGGGTAGTGAAATAGCGGGGGAGTGAGAGTGGCGGTGGTGGTGATGGTGGAAAGAGACAAGAGAGACGACGACGGCGTTGGCTTTTGAAGTAAAGGATATCGTGTATGCGGGCCGAGTGAAACAAAGGGAATAGCGCGTTTTGGACAATGGACACACCTCCCAAAAATAGCAGCGATGTCATACGCACACACCACAATGAACAAACACCCACCACCCCACATCGGTTTATATCCTTTGAATGGTCATTGCCAAGAAAATATCATTACCCATCCTTGGGGTTTGACATCCTCAATAACATCCTCCATCTTTCACATGTCAACATCACCTCTACTACAAATCAATGATAATATAGCAACTCCTCCTCAGGCACACTAGTTTTCTTTGTATTGCTCACAGAGATGATTCACATGTATACCAAAGTTCATTCATACTGATTCTTCAAATAAATGAAAATCTATGATACAACACGTGAGTTGCTATTGGGGTTGAAGCTACTTCCTTTGCAAGAAGCGTATCTTGGCGATTGCCATGACAACGAATTGATACCTCTCATCGGCGTGATTTCTATTGGTCAAACTCACCCACTCAATATACTACTCTATAATCCATCCACAGCTTTTGCTTTTCAGCAAGGTATTGTTTTAAGCATCCAAATTCATGGATTCAAGGCGTGCATCTTATGTGCGGATAAACCAAGGACTGTATCTTGGATACCACTGTCCAGATTACTACGTCTTCAATATCCCGCCACTTGAAGAGGAATAGCTGACCGTATGATGCCGTCGATCAAAATTAACTCCTCGACCGATCCTGGTGACATTGATGCCTTCAAAGTGCGGCATCACTATTTCCCGACCAGAGAGCTATGGTAGTGATAGCGTTTGTTTTGAAGCTCCTATGCTCATATGATGTCTTTTACAGCAATGGGTGTGCTTGAATCCATCATCTGCAGCTATCAAGGTGATTGTGTCACAAAGGTCAACAATGAAATTCCTCTTTAAAGCATGGCTGGAAGACAATGAACCATCATCGCACCATATGATGATTCAACTTGTGGATGACATTTTTAGAGTGCGTCCCGGGGTAAGGCACGTATTGTGGCATCGGCAATCGGTTTGCTAATAGGGATTTGCATTCCCGTTATAAGCGACTTTATTGGGAGTATACAAATGCCCTCATTTCTTATGCTAATGTGCCAAAGAAAAAGGTGTGCCAAGAGATCATGGTGCTGGGATCATAATGATCCTCTTTTATTTACTGTTCTGTATGCCCTTCAAGGGTCCAGTTGGATGTGAAATGTATGATTGAACTTCTGCAGCAGCAGGATTCACAGCCCTGTGGATGCTTGCAGGATGCCGCATGATGTTTGTATCCATGATGCTACGCAGGCGTAAGCACCCATTTATCGCTTCACTTTACAACAATGGTAAGAGTGCGGCACCAAACGTCGATCACGCCTTAACATTATACGTACATACGCACTTCAATCCCCCTTTTCATAATCTCGCTATTATGCATGATGATTTAAAACGGAGCGCAAAGTAATGTGATGTTCTGAAAGTATCTATAATGAAGATCTCTATGCCTACTTTGACTGGAATGTACCGAGAGCCTCTATCACCAAGAGCATTATTAGTAAAAGGGATGCTGTTCCTGGTTTACACCACCACGTGTACTTTTTGCTGCACATGAGAGAGAGCGTGGGAGTAGAAAAGACCTTGCATCAGCTGAGGTTGTACAACAAAACAACACATTACAAAAAGATAGAAGCGGCGCCTTGGATACTGCTCATGCAATTGCTGTTGCACAAATGCCAGGAAGATGAGTTTATATATTGCGTTGGTCTAGCAACTAGTACAAAAAAATGATGATGATGTTCATATATGATACAAATGAGAATAGTGGGTAAATAAGAGGTGGGATGATGTCTATCAGGATATAGGGTATATGTATAATTTCATCGTGGTTGCAATTTACGCCATGGCGACCAACGCAACGAATCGCCCGATGAGCGAGGTGTGCTTGGAGCAGAGAGATAAGGGCGTACCAACGTTGATGTGGATGAACCACCAAATAAAGAACGTTTCATTTTTCGAAAGACTGACAAGGCTTGATCATCATTGGATCTCACTGAAGAAAAGCTTGAGCGTTGATTTCGTTGTGTCCAAGGAATAAACGAGTTGGCTCGCATCAGCTCCACCACCGATTCGGTTGCTGCTGCAAAGACGGCAGGGTGATAGTTGCCATCTTCTTGCACTAAATGCAAGATCTCTTGTCGCATCTCGCAAGGAATGTTTATCTCTTGTGGCGAGTTGGGTCGAATATGGTTATAAAGGATGGCGTGGCATGCTCCCTGGATTTCCGCAAACGCCTTGTTATCGATGATCCCTCGTTCGTGTACCGTGAATCGGAATAGGGCGTTGCTTTTGCTCAGCACAATCGCATCGTCTAGACTCTCTAATGACCCATATCCCAATCGATGACATAGGTCAAGATAATGTTGGATCGCAAGCCAAAATGACAAGTTCTCTGTACAAAAGGTTTCTTGTACAAAGGCTGCAAATTCTCGATAATGATCAGTCGATCGGTTATGAAGTATCGATTCAAGCGTGGGGGTCGATGTACAAGCCATAGTGACAGAATGAAAGAGAGGGGCAACGAAGAAAAGGGGAAAGAGGGAGGAGAACAAGTAAGCAAAAAAAAAGAGAGAGAGAAAAGTAAAAAGTGATGTAAAAGAGGTAAGCCATGTGGTTTGCTTTTCCCCGACCTTTTGCAATGCCGCGCGCGAAACAACAACCACAGGCCAACTTTTTTGTTGTACACACCATCAGTGTAAAATGCACATCCTCACGTCCTATTTCAGTCCCCGCGCGTCAAGTGCAACGCAACAAGTTTTCTTGGCTTAACAAGGCATCAGGAACGTGCATCACTGGTTCTTTTGGAACACCCAAGGATGATCAGCCATTCAAAAGCCATGGTGCTGTCTAAAATGTATAGACTACAAGTCCCGCTGCACTTGCCTTTTTTTTAGTAGTAGCACCAGAACAAGTCTACGTAGTACTTTATCAAAAAGAAAATGCCGCAAACGAACTTGTGTAATGAGGCCAAAGCGTATGTTGTTCTTAAACATCTTTCATGTGCTACCATACCTTAACTTGTTTTTGCCACTAATCGCTGTCCTCGTTTATTCTTATTGACAAATTCCTACTCAAGGATAGGGTAATTGGGGAATTAGGTGTATGCACGGCGCATGTGCGTGTGTGAATGCATAATCCCACTTTTTTTATTGCACACATCAACACTTGTCAGGAGACAACCTTATGTGCCTGCTAGATTTGTGCAATAGAGACGCCGCACCGTTATATAGGATCAGCATTGATGCATCCAATTCTTACGTAGGCACATGTTTTATTTCAGGAGCAACGGTGATGATGATCCTGATGTGTGGCAGGTTGACAGAGAAAGATGCATCCACAAGGGATGATGATGAACAAGCTTTTTCCCATGTAACATGCCTGCTGTATCCACAAAGCCATTGTGATCATGTTTACGTGTGATGTGCAATGATAGCAATACACTTGATGTTTCTTTTTATGTATGGGACGATGCGTTACGTAAATCGTCTATATGGGGATATGATACACAAACATTGGAGAGAGAAAGATAAGTAAATACAATGGCAAAGAGAATGCAAAGGGGGTTGTGGATGAGAATAGAGTACAAAAGGGGTGGTGGAGTCATTGAAGATGTTGAATGTGAAGTATTCATGGCACAAGGGGAGCGGTAAATCGGTCTTGGGGATGATAGAGGGGTTCGAATGACACCGGTTTGAGGAGCAAAGGTGATGGCCAATAATGATGATGCAATGTTGTTGAGCAATTGGTAGCGTTGGATGGTGTCGTGGTGATGGTTGCCGCTGATGGACGTCGATAATCAGCATAAAAGTCGCCATGAATGAGCTGGTAATAGTGATGATGTTCTCTTATGGTGGTGAGTGGTGGTCGTCTCAAGAGCATTGTGCTTCGTTGTCGCTGTCGAATGCTAACATTTTGATCATCCGGAATGACAACCATACCAGCAGCCACGCTTACACGGCGACCTGATGGGTTAAGTACTGGTTCGGGTGGAAGCAAGCTTGTTGGAAATTGACGTTCATGAGCAAGGCACGATAAGGGTGGCATAGCAGCTTCAGGGCGATCCTTGAGACGTTCCCATTCATTCTTATTGTCGGCTAGAGTTACAAGAAAGGAACGTGCCATTGGCAAAAAGCCCGTAAGAGCTTCAAAATACGGTTTAACGACATAGTCACCAAACTTGAGACTGATGTCCGGTTGTGTAGAATGATCTCGATCCATGCCAGGTGATACAGGGAGACCGGCTACCTTTTCTGCATCGCCCTGGCGGAAGAATTCTTGCACAATTAAATCAGACCATTGCTTGGAAATAGGCCATGGGCGTACTGTATTGCTAATGTCCGCTGCATGTAACAAGATCCGACATAGGCTCAGCCGCTGTTTGCATGAAAGCAATACTGCATGATGATGATGATGGTTATTGTTGCTGGTAGAAGTAGTACATTCACTGCTGGTGGTGGTAGGTGTACAAAGACTTTCTTCGGAATCACTGCTCATGGACCAAAAGTCGTCAAAGTCATCTTCATCCATATAATGATCGGTGAGACATTCTTCCAATTTGCCTGCTTGTTGTTGAAGCTCATAATGATACACCATATCAGTCGATAGGATCAAGTTTTCGATTGTGCCAATAAATGAATCAGCATCGTCTTCCACATTGATATTTTGGCCCGTGCTCAAGGATTTCAAAAGTTTGTGTTTGTGCAACAAGGAACGTGCAATGTCAACGGAATACGATTCGAGTACAGAGGTATTGTTGTAACGATCCGCCAATTGTGTCTTGATATTGACTTGGAAGAGATTAGTGTATCCAGGCTACATATATCAAAGGGGAGGTTAGTGTTATTGGATTTACATAATAGTGTGTGGCAAACAAGCTACCGATTTAGGAAGCTTGTATAGGCCCATTATCACCACATCAACAACCCCCTTTTCCTCCTTCTTGCAGTAGAATAACCCACACACACACAAATGTAAGGCGCATCCATGCTCCCTCCTTTTTTTTGCGCTACCCTTATACATGCATCGTTCACTTTATCGTATAGCCATCTCCTTCCCGTAAAATAGAATGATGAAATGATCACTCACATGGCCTGCATCATGACAAAGTGCCGCCAATAGCAACGCAGCAACGTCCAGTCGAGAAAGGTATTGCTCGGCTTCCAATTCGGTTAGAATGTAGTACAAGACTGTTACAATGTCGACGGCATGGTAGAACGAATGATAAGGTGCGTCAAGGTAGGTTGCATCGACATCAATCAAGAAATCCAACATTTGTGAAGGCGAAATATCAAGCGTGTTGAATACATCCAGCTTTGCGAAAATGCCGAGAAGATGCCCATAGAGATCGGTACGTTGTAGATCAAGCACGTTGAAATCGGAATCCACAATCGGTTGTCCCTTGCAGTCCAACCATCGAATAAGCCGCTAGATGCATCATCCGTATAAGCAGCCATGATAATAATGTTGGTGTTGTTGTAGTTGTTGATAGGCTTACCCGCTCAATAGAGAAGAGATCATTTGCTGAGAGTGTATTGTGTTTGAGAATGATCATGGTATGGGCTCGATATTGATGGTGGACAACAAAGAGAAAAAGAAGAATACGTGAATATCCTTTTAGACGATGAGAAAAAAAAGAGGGAAGAAAAGGTGGGGTCCTTATTCCTAAATGGATCGACGTTGTGCCACCATTTAAGCCCCGCATCGTTTCTTTGCACTTCATTGTCAAGACCTTGTGCTCCTTTTGCTTCCCATCGTGTCCCCCTTTGCATCTCACTACAATTGCCGCCAAGTTATAGAGCCTTGAAAACTGGTTTTTTAGTATTGTGCGATGTGTGTTATGTGGGGTTACAGGTCATCATCATCATCACCCCTCACGCAAACAGCATTATGTACAACACCACATTCTTATGCGTTGAAGAATCCACCATAGTGTGACGAGCATTCACGATGTATCAATGATTATCATCCACCCTACGTATGCACATTGATCATTCATATGTGTGTTCCAGGCAATAATAAAAAGAAACGTTGATGCATGCGGCTCAAGTGGCTGGTTACACATATGGTGACGAGAGTTCACGCGGTATCATGTGAGGATGTACTTGTGTGGCTAGACTCTTCTCCTTCCGTTGCCAAGGGTTGGATGTGTAAGTAAGAGCGGTTATTGTTTCTTTGGCAACAGGCCGCATGCTTATAGGCCTTTGATAGGATGCTGGAGTAAAAGTATTGTATGGAGAAGGGGGGGTTGGTGTAAAACAAGAAGCTGCTGCTGCAGTCGATGATTTGCCGGTGCATTGAGTGTTATTATTAGCTTGTTGTGAGATGATCTTGGTCTTGTCATATCTCGTTGTTGTTACCCACACGAGTAGAATTTAATGGGGTCACACTCCCAGTGTCACGACACAAGCATGGATTATGAAAACATTACTTGTTTGTTGTTTATTTGTTTATATAGCAAGAAGAGCGCTTGTTTCATATTACACTAACACCACGCATCACACGATGGATGTTGTTCTGGTAAACAGCGTAAAAAAAGAGCCGTGGTAGTGATGAGAAACAATATTCCATGGCAACATGACGCATAGCAACATGAGAAGGATCATCAATGTGGTTGGCAATGGTAAGGCTGTGAAGCTATCATCCTCATCATCATCATCATCCAGTACGGTGGTCGTTCTACTGTGTCATCCCCTGGAAACATTCACGGGTTGCCTCTCATTTAGGTCGATGCAAGCAATAAAGATAGTCGTCGTCAACGTATAAGCGAGAAGGAGGTGGCACACTTAATCGTCGCTGGCAGCTGTATGCTGATCCCAATGATTGAGTCTTAGTTTGGATCACACGTGCCATTGCAGTATAAGGTCATCCTGTTACTGCTGCTCTCACTCTCTGTTTCTCTTTCCTTCCATCATCTGAAATGCTCAAGTCACAAGCTGATGTCTGAAATAAGGAGGCTCGAGGGGTAATCACTGTATTGTATTATGCTGCCACTGAAAGGGTGATGGGTATATACAAAATAAAAGATGGGTCTTCTACTAGTGTTGTTCATTTGCTAAGTACAGGGTGATTGTGATGGGGTCGTATATAGGAGTATGCTGACGTGAGATGCGTGAACATTGTCGATGGCGAGCAAAGCGATCTTCTCCATGTCGTCAATGCCGTCATTCAACCCTTTGTCGTTCCTCTTTTCCCACCCATCCCCTCTTGCATGTCTTCTTCAAAGGATCTAAATCATATAGGATTGGTAAAAGAACATCGTCAGTTGTGTTATAATAAAGCTTCACCTTTCCACGTGATGATGGCCGTTGTGGGATGGCGGAAGAGCCGGAAGAGGTCCACCAAGATTTATGCACCATCCTTTATAAAGCCCCGCTTTCATACCACCCAAACGCGAGATCCTCTGATACCATAGCAACACCCAACATTCCCATAACGACGTATCCACAATGCAGAATTGTTTCATATATTTAAAAGCAATACATTGTATTTGTAAGAGGTGGTATATATAAAGTTGCTGCTTGATTGCTGTGTGAGAGTTGTTGGGATGCCTTCAGGATCCAATTATCTGACGCGAATAATAAACCGGCTAAATGCAGCAGCCACCAGTGCCATCAGACCGCCAAATGCTAATACCGATGCCACACCCGATGTTTCATCCCCTGATGTTTTATCTGCTGCAGCAAAGATAAATGATGCGATGATAGCAACGGCGAATTGTGGAAAGACGATGTACATGTTATGGACGCCCAAGATCATGCCGGCATCGAATTCATCTTGATGTTGATCTTCAAGAGTGCTGGGTGAAGTGGATGTTGAAGGAGAGACACCATCTTGAAGAGCCTTTTGCCTGTTTTCATCTTCAAAGCTGACGTATTCACCAACGAGGGAGAAAGGAATCCACAATACAATGGCCCAAGGAATGCCCATAATAGTAAGGATCAAGGTAGCAGCCTCGACTGAATGCACAAACCAAGCCGACAATAATGAACCAGCCACCAATAAATGGGATGCGGTATAGATGTTGTCAAGCGATAGGAACCAAACTTTTTCAAACTTGGATGCAACGGCAGGGACGACGATACCAGCAATCACGGATACCACAGAGTAACACAAAAGTGCAAATGATCCTGCACGGGTGCCTTCTGCCCAGTTGTCATCTTTGCTCGTGCCATCATCCGATCGATGCGTTGAAAAGTAAATGTCACTAACCCATTGCGTGCTATAGATAATATTAGTATTTATCATCAACATTAGAATCATCATTCATTATGTATATTACCTGTAAAACAAGAAAGGAAACCATCCCATCCATGCAAAGAATTGAGTGTTACACAATGTTTGCACCGGTCGAGGAAGGTATCGGAATGCACGCCAGATGTAAACGAATGTATGATACCATGGCCTATAACGAAAGAAGGTTATTAGTGTATGCAAGAGAAGGAACTAAAGATTGCCATGTGTCTTACTGGTTGTCTTGGTCATCCTCCTTCTCAAGGGGCTTTTCGTGCACTGCCAAGCATGTGATACCGAGTGTTATGACAAAGACAATAATGGCAACCACGCAAAATCCCTTCATTTGAGAGTCCCCAAGCCATGGAGCGTACTTGACCAAGTCGACAAAGCCAACAAAGTAACCAATGACTTGAGCTGAATTGCTCATACGAGCACTCCATGCATTGGCTAATTCCTGTTGCCACAATGGAGGGATATCGAGAATCAGGGCACGGCAAATAGCTTGAACGGCATTAAGGGTAAAGTCCATAAAATAGAAGGATGCGATAGCGACGAGGATGGCATAAGAATGCTGAAGACATGATGATGCATTAGACTGTGACCTGATCTCGTGATACAACCCAAACCCCACACACACATCACACTCCGCTGCATGGAACCAATACTTACAGCTGTGGTACCGCCAAAGACATCTGCCAATACATGTCCAAGCTCTTTGGCATAGGCAACACCCAACATGGACAAGATGGTGAGTATACCAGCAATGACAATGAAAGGACGGCGTTTGCCATAAGAAGATGTGCACTTGTCACTCATGGCACCAATCAACTGACAACGACGAATAACCTTGTGTTAGAATTTTCCATGATATGACGTTTTCCCTTTGTACACTCACGGGTTGAACAATAAGACCTGACAATGGACCCGCCAGCCAGACCAATGCTGTCAACTCTTTGGAGATATCGAGAGATAACAAATACGGCGTGCCATACGATAATTCCACAGTCCCTAAAAAAAAGAGAGTCAATGGTAAGAATAAAGGATCATCATGCTGCTTACAAGTGAATTGAACACCAGCCATGCAAATAGTAAGACCCAGCAATTGCACTAGAGTGAGACCTGGGTCAGCCGTTTCCAAATGAGTGGACTTGACATAAGGTAAAGATTGGCCAGTGCTGTGGTAGGTGGATGGGTCGAACGAAGAACGTCGTCTCTTGTATTTGGGTCGACTAACGGGTGGTTTGTGCTGTTGTTGTCCTTGTAAAAGGGGTGTTTGCTGGTCGACTTTGTCTGTCATACGGAATAAGAAGGAAAAAGAAGTCAAAAATGTAAAAGCCCAGGGTGTCAGTTGCCCCTTTTATACAGACTCAGTTATGCAAGTTGCCTTAGGGAGAGTGTAAGTGTGATGGCACACACACACACACGCACAGGTGGGGCACATTGCTATGTTGGTCCCAGTTCCGCCCATTGATGCTTTTACCCCTCTCCGCTGTCATGCCTTGACTTCTTTGTCCATCGCAATAGCCCCCTGACCCACCATGAATACTGCCCTTTATTTGTCCTTTTTCCTTATTCGTTGTACGCACCATACAAATTTCTTTCTTTTCATTCATCCATCCGATCCTGGGTACTGATGTATTATTATTATCGTTGTGATGGTGTATTGTTTATTGAAGGTGATGATGATGATGGTAATGATGGCTTTTGAGCAACGACAAAATGAAAATTACTGTAACTATGGTATTGTTCTACCTCACGCCTTGCCATTTCTAGTTGATTTTCGAATACATGAGGTTCAAGTACAGGCTTGCCTTGAGAAGCATTGAATTCGTTGATTGCTACTTGGGTATGTATTAGGCCGTGAAAGAGATCTTCTCGAAATAGGACACCCAGCCGGCCACCCCATAAACCAATCGGCAAAGACCGGTATTTTTCATATCGGTTCACGGCTCCTTTGGGAATCAAGGTACCCAGCTCTTGTGCCAACCTTGGGCTTAATCCACGGTTATGTGCAGCGTCCATCACTGTCAATAAAAGGATGTAAGTTTTCTTTTGTCATGTTAGAGAGAAAAAGTTTATGCATACATACCATCCTGATTAAGTTTTTCCGTTGTAGGTCCTGGAGAGGAAACCTTTGTGTCCATTTCCATCAGCACAATGTAGCCACCTGGTTTGAGTAGATCCCAGCAATTTTGCACGGCCGTCAAATATTGGTCATGTGTGAAAGCGAGTGACATGAATCGGAAGTGGATACAATCAAAGCTCTCCAAAGGAAATGATCCGTGGAACCCATTCAACACGTTAAGCGTCATGAATTGGCAATTGGACGGCACCGAGTAACTTGGATCGGGAAACATGTCATCCACAATATCAACACCAATCACTTGTTGCAGATCGGGAAACTCCTCAGCGAGATTAAGGCACCAATCACCAGGGCCACATCCAATGTCCAGTACGCATCCCCCTTTGATCTCGTTAAAGTCAATAGGCAATGAGAATTCCCTATTCATGCATGCATATGCAACCCAAATGACAGTTTAGATCCATTCCTTGTCCCGTGAATTATGTCACATGAGGAAACTTACCCACCAAATGCAAGTTTGACCAAGTCATTCTTTAGTTGAATACGATCCGCTTCTTCTTCTCCCATCGTCATCAAGTATAACGGCTTATAATTATCGACGCTGTACATATCGGATATATCGGATAGTGGACTATCAAGTGGTGGTGGTGAAGAGTGGACCCCTTCGTCGGAATGACGACGACGTTGCTCATGAGCCGTGTGAAGTCGTTTCAGCCCATGTCGTGCAGCTTTTGAAATCATGGCAGCAATGCGTGGCGATCGATAGTGCGATTGGGGTTTGGAACAAGTGGCATTGGTGTCTGCATTGGTTGTACTGGTGCTGCTGCTGCTGCTGGTATTGTTTCGACGCATGGTAGGTAGGTATGTAGTGGGTGTGAAAATGATCGATCGGATGTTCCTTTTAATACGTCGTTGTCGCGAGATGAAAATAGGAAACTACTGAGTTCTCCTTGATACAATGAAGCCCCTGGCGTGTGCGTGTGCTGAGATGTTGGTTATTAGAAAAGGGGAGGTTGTCATTTATCGGATAAAGAAGTCTGCACTTTTATAATGAAGATGGATAGTTGGCGGGAACACAAATAGCATGTTATTGTTCTATGCACTTCCTTTTCGCATGAATATAAAACTTGTCATCTTGCTTGATATTGTCGCCAAGAGTCAATGAAGAAAAAGACAATCGCATAAGACATGTGAAAATGAGATCGAGCCACCTTGCCTTGTTTTGTTGAAAATGATCGAAAGTACACGCCATCTCTCGACATGTGAAAACAATAATCACCCTTTGTGTAACATGGGATGTTTTCATTGGGGGTTGTGCATGGTTTAAGCATTTCTTGGTTAAGCTCAACAAATGTCACCGATCAACAATGCCACGTGTTACTCATTGATACGCGCTGCTTTCATTGTGATTTTCTGCTATCCACAGCATCCAGGGATTCATGATGTTTACCAAGTACCAATAATGTGATTCTATGGCAGAGGCAGCAGCGTGGTGGTAACCACACAAAAATGCTTCATGCATTGCTTCTCTTCCTACTATAACGGGAATAAAGAAATTCAATAATAGCGACCATCCAAAATGAATCGGCGTAATATGACACAACCCCTTTGGGCCATTCATATATATGCATTCCCATTCACCTCATCAGGTCGTCAATGTGCATCATGAAAACCTTGTGATTTTACGTTGTAATGGGCTCATCATGGTCGAGCTTCGAGGGCGAATCATATAAAAGATCACTATAATCACAAGCTTCCACAACCCTAGTTGTAGTATCCTCCATAGCCTGCCACTCGCTAACTACATGTAATTGCATCCACGCATTGTGGCCAATGACTCGAAACAATAGCAGTGCTACTTAAAACTGAGATGATGGATTTATACATAATTGAGATCCTTCACCGAGGAATATTGTAAATGAGAACATGATGATATCTACGAAAGGCACAGTGTACATTGGGGGAAACATTTTCATCTTAGATCGATGGATCAAGGGGTTGATAACCTTCTTGTTAGACACCACCTGTTGGCTTTGAAGGAACAAAGGTCCACAGGACTTGCATTGTGATTGCCATTGCAAGACACACCAAAGGCATTGATAGAATACCCACGTAGCCTGAAATCTGACCGGTGAGGAAAGGGAAAAATGCAGCACCACCTGCACCAGTGCTATGGCAACGTTGATTTAGTTTGATTGTTGTGAGATATGCATGAATGACATCCCTTTCCTTCTCTATCCCTTTAAACTTACCCAGCCATAAAACCAATAGCAGCTGGATGCATGCGTCGAGGGAGCACTTTGGATGCCAAGGAGACTGTGCTAGGGAACATGGGACCCAATAAGAAGCCCACAGTGATAATGGCTATTTTTATCGTGTATGCAGCAGGCGATTAACGTTTTTGAAAAATGTGGCTCTGATGATGAGTGTATGCTTACCAATCGAATCAACCACGATATTGGGAATGTACCAGATCACGAGAAGGACAACACCGGTTGCTGCGGTAAGGACCGAGACAGTCTTTTTCTCACCAAACTTCTCCGCGACGTATCCAAGCACTATACGGCCTGCCGCTAATGCTGCCCAATAACCAGCCACGACTCTTGTCATTGCAGCTTGATCAGCATGACGACCTTCAATCATGTATGTGATACTCCATCCACCCATAGTGACTTCTGTGCCAACATAGACCAAGATGTACAATGCACCAAGGATGGTCATGCGATGAAGAAGCGCTGCACGTAACATTTCCTTATCCACTTGATCAGACTCTTCGGATTTTCCATGTAGATCCGCATCATGAAGACCCACGCGCACCAAAGCCAAATTGAACAAGGAGATAAGTGCCATAACAGCATAGATGCCTCTCCACGATACATCCAAGTCCAACAATACACCAGCGATCAAAGGACTAAGCATAGCGCCGACACCATAAAGAGCTATCATTATCAACATTGAGAGTCAAGATAACATGGAATAGTCTACATTCACTTACCATGTACCAAATTCAACATCATTGTAGCCATTGGCACCATTGTGGCATATACATTCATAGCTGCATCCATCAAGGCTAGAACCAAGCAAGGAGCATTTAAGTTCACTCTGATGACCTTGCATGTACCACACATCAATCCGATCTACTACTTACCAACACCTGCTCCTTGCACTACCATAAGAACCGCCATCACGTAAAATGGGAAACCATAGGCAATCACTGAATAGCCAAAGACCAACACGCCTGCACCAAAGTAGATCGTGCCAAGCTGTCCAAATTTCTGCACCAGATAGCCATTGGCGATCGCACTCACAAAGTAACCAAAAGAGTTACACAAAAAGAGCATGGACACCGTCTGGTTCGATATATCATAGTAGTCCTTCAAACGTGGGATAATAGCACCCTATCCAAGCAAGTTGAATTGATATCGGCATCCTTTATAAAGGCACCAAAGTCAACTTACGATGCTGCCGTCATTGAGACCACAGACGATGCCGAGAAAGTTGATCGCAATCAAGGGGCGAATGAATGGCTTGAGATCGCTCCACGATTCTTGTTTCTTGCCGGTTGGTTCGGCCCCATTTTCAGGTCTCAAGAAGCTTGTCGTCTCTGTTACACCATGGTGATCGTTATCAGCATCCATAATGGTGGAGGTGGAGGAGGTGGAGTAGGATGTATGTAAAAGACACTGATAAGAATTGAATGTACAACAAATAAAACTCCCTTTATATGCGATCGGTATCTGCATATAGCTCCGCGGATCGCTTTACCTTACATAACGGTGTTGCCATAGAAACACAAGTGATCAATATAAATGGCATGGACACAAGCCACTATACAACATGATGATGCCACGTCATAAAGATCCACAAATATGGACAAACAAACAAATAGACGCACGGATTACATTATGCTAGGTGCAGCACTAGTACCACCATTCCTCTATCCAGCAGCTGTAACACCCCCCTCACATCCTCGATGAGCATCTTTACATTGTTTATCCTTGGGGTCGTTATTATTGCTATACAGCACGTGCCTACCATTCTTGGTGATTGGATACACAATCCTGGTATTCCAATACGCCATGATTTTGATCACAATGCGCGTTGTAGAAAACGAAGCACTGAATGATTGAATGATTGTTAACATGCAGGGTACATACTACGACGGCAGCTGCATTACCACCACCTATAGCCTATAGTACATGCTTTGCTAATGCGATCTTCTATACCAACATCTTCGATTTCATGATCTAATCGACCTCGTTTAGCAACCCTTGATCTAATTCTTCCTCCACGGTCAAGACACAAATATCTCTTTCGGAACTAAAATCACGGGCTTACACAACCATGAAGGCATATAGATATCATGCGCTATCGCTATCTTAGATTTGCGTTCAATGATCCAATAGTTCGAATCACAAGCAATGATGCTGTATAAAAGATTGGGAAGATGGATTTGCCTTTCGATGACTTTACCAAGGAAAATGTATAGTTACAACAAGAGGGGACATTAAGCAGGTAGACATGCATGTTTATCTTATATCGAAAGATCAAGGAGTGTATGTAATGTGTCAAAAAGATAAAAGCAGCTCGATACCATGATGTAAGTGATCCATCTCGTTTTCCAGTATTCATCCAATCCCCTCCCGATCCAGTTACATCCTTATCATCATCAATCCCGAAACCAATCAAGCGATCCACATCTTGCACATGTGAGCCAATAATAAGATGCTCTAAATATCACGTTGAATCCAGTGTTCATTCAATGGAAGTAAAATAACAAGGAGCGGTAATGTGGGATCAAGTAAACATAATGAAGAAACAACCATCACCAAATGACGAAAGTGTGCGTAAATCACATAGGCTCAATGGGCGTCATTGTGTCATTGTGTCATTGTGTTGTTGGTCGCGACCGCCAACATAAGCATTGCCATCCAGGATCCCAAACAGCAGCAAGGTGATTCGACCCGAGTATTCCAATCCACCCATGGCGCGTCAAAGATACAGGCCCTGTTGTCAATGCCATTGTAAGCCGTCTCCATGTGATATGACCCTTCCACCTCCTGAAGACCTACCAAGCAACCGAATCATCATTCCAGGATTTCTCATCACTGCACGTATGATTGTATACATCCACCCATCCATCCTTCAAACATAGCCATTGGAGCTCCAATATGCTGATAGAAAGAACCTCTGTGATTGCTGCCGATACGCTTCCTTTTCCTTCCCTGCTCTTCGTCTATCGCTTTCTTGGTCATTTCCCATCGCTGCTCAACCAGGCGAAGATTGCTTGTATTGCGGTGTGCTTGATAGCTGATATGGCATCATCCATTGGAATCCATATGCACCAAAGCAAGTTGCTAAACGTAAATAAAGCTGCTTTCTATGCATGACTATCTGCTGTTCATGTGAAAAAGGTTGCAAGTAGAGTTGCTGCAAGTAACTTGGGTCGATGAGTAAAGACCTTGCTGATGGCAGCTGCTGTTCGTTTGGTTGTGGCAGAGGAACGTGCAAGAGCATGTGTTGTAGTAGAATGACAAGGTTGTGAACGCTCCTTGAGACAAGAAGCGAACAGCAACTGCTGGAATGAATGCTGTTACGTTTGAGCGTGGCAGAGGAGTGTGCATGACAATGTGTAGTATCAAGGAAGGCACGTGTTGAAGTAGAGTGACAAGAGGCTGCGTACACGCCATGGACTTGCCATTCAGTCAATGACAATCGGATCAAGACAAACGTAGGATTGACATGATGGGTGGAAGCAGGACAATCGTTCGCGGGTAGTAATTGTACTTGAATGGGGCAACAGTTGAGAATGGGAGGAAGAAGGAAGACGCGGTGAGTGGAAGAAGTGGAAATTGAAGAGGTTGATCTGATGTTGAATGACATTTCTTTGTTTGAGCGTAACTCATTCTTTACCCTCTCGGATCAAGAAAGTTGAATGAGGCAGGTGATTGGATGGAGCAGGACAATCGTACGTATGCATTGGATTGGACAACAAAGGTGAATGGCAGGAATGCGCTATTAGCTGGCAGTTTACAAATAACTTTGCAAAATGATTTTTGTGAAATTGGATGATACTTCTGTGTTTGAGCGTTTTTCAGTCAAATCCTCTCGGATCAAGAAAGTTGAAGGATGGGTATGCTGGGCTGGAGCAGGAGAATCGTTCAAATGCATTGGATTGGGAAACAAAGATGATTGGGAGGAATGGGCTATCAAGTGGCAGTTTACAAATAAGTTTGCAAAATGATTTTTCTCATATTGGATGATACTTCTGTGCTTCAGCGTAACTCATCCAGATCCTCTCGGATCAAGGAAGTTGAAGAATGGAAATGCTCAGCTGGAGCAGCAGAATCTTTCACATGTATTGGATTGGGAAACAATGAGGAATGGGAGGAAGTGGCTATTAGCTACCAATGATGAATAGTGCATAAGGTATCATCCATTACCCCTTCCAGTCATGCAAAACTGCTGAGTTACACAAACACGACCCTCTGCATCTTTTGCTCTGCCAGGGTCCATCTACTTGACAATGAACAAAGACCACTCTTCATATAGCATCACGCTTACAAACATAAAGGTGCCTGTATCTCTAAACTTTACAATCGAACGTGGGGTTTTGAATAGAGCAATGGGCTCAGCTTGGCCAACAGCACCTTGTGTGAAAGTTTCGCGTTCAATGTCGCAAACAGCCCAAAAAATATTTTTTGGTTGTCGTCGTTGAAGAGGTCGACCCCCAGATCCAGTTTGGCTGGTAGCGACATTGCGAAATCTGGGATTGGCAAGCTTGATCGTGAAACTTTCACACAAGGTGCAGTTGGCCAAGCTGAGCACATTGCTCTAATAAAAACCCCACGTTTCATTGTAAAGTTCGGAGATACAGGCACCTTTATGTTTGTTCTCGTGATGCTATATGAGAAGTGGTCTTTGTTCATTGTCAAGTAGCTAGACCTTGGAGAGCCAAAGATGCAGAAGGATCTCTTTGGGTAACTCAGCTAAAAAGTCAGGACTTCAGGGACAATGCATGATAGGTACGCAACCCTCATTTTCAGGTCATACATTGGCAGCTAATAGCCACTTTTGTCCAATCAGCATTGTTGCGAAATCCACGTGATGGGAATGATGCTCGTGCTCCAGCCGAGAATTTCCATCATTCAAGTAGCTTGATCCGAGCTGATTTGGTTGAGTTACGGTCGAACAAGGATTAATCAGCTGAGACATTCGAATGTATGCTGATGTATGGATTGATGTAATCTCTCTTTGACCGTAGCTCAGCCAAATCAGCTCGGATCAAGATAATTGAATCAAGGAAATGAATGTCTGGAGGAGGAGCATCGTTCCATTATGATGGAGTAGACAAAAGTTGGTGTTGGGTGGAAGTAGCTGTTAGCTCACAATGTATGGGCTATTGTCAATAGTATACAGTATCATCCTTCCATCCTTGCAGTCATGCAAAGTAGCTGAGTTACACAAAGAGGTCCCTCTGCATCTTTTGCTCTGTCAGGGTCCACCTACTTGACAATGAACAAAGACCACTCTTCATATAGCATCACGCTTACAAACATAAAGGTGCCTATATCTCCAAACTTTACAATGAAACGTGGGGTTTTGAATAGAGCAATGGGCTCGGCTTGGCCAACAGCACCTTGTGTGAAAGTTTCACGTTCAATGTGGCAACTAGCCCAAAAAATATTTTTTGGTCGTCGTCGTCGAAGAGGTCGACCCCCAGATCCAGTTTGGCTGGTGGCGACATTGCGAAATCTGGGATCGCCCACGATGAACTTCATACTTTGACACAAGATTCCTTTGACCCCGACAAGCACGTTGATCTATTAAAGAGCCCATGTTTGATTGTAAAGTTTAGAGATACAGGCACCTTTATGTTTTACATATGCTGTAAGCGTGATGCTATACGGGAAGTGGTCTTTGTTCATTGTCGAGTGGCTGACCATGATAGAACCAAAGTTGCTGAGGGACCTGTTTGTGTAACTGGAGCAGAGGGGAACGAGACATAAAAGCGTCAATACTATTGGTGGAAAGATGCATGAAGTGGCTCCATCCCCTATTGCAAGGTCCGCCTATGATAGCCCGATAGGATGGTTTCTTCTTATATAAGGCTGCATACGATAGCTTTAACTAAAACTTGTCATAGGTAAGCATGGCATGTTCATGTACTCATGTCACATTGTATCACTCCTTCTTGGACATAACGAAATAAGCTTACAATGAACCAAGCTTATGTATGTAGACTTCTTCAATTCCGCCACAGTAAAACGATATATAGCTTAATTACAAGGAATGTGTTTAATTGAATCTCGAGTAGTGGTCAAGTGTATAGGCTATTATTGAGGGATCTATCTCCATAGCAGTACAGTAACTGTAGCAAGCGGGGTGCCGTAGAGTGCACAAATTGGGAAGTGGTAGGAACGACAAAGAACCACTTCTTCGCTCTCACTTCACAAAGCGAGGTAAGAGTAACTCTATAAACAAACTACAACACAATAACAGATAGCATTCCTTTCAATGTACAGCGCCAATTGGGTGAACAGGTGGTCAATGGCAACGCTTTCCAGTTGCAGACATTCAACAACAAGTACACGCGCGATCTACCCATGACACAAGCTCCCATTGCAATACAACATGTACGTTCCATCGCTGCATTACTTTATTATTCAAGTTGGACGTTGAGATATTCAAGTTGACGTGTAGTTTGCTGTTGTCTGGTTCATACAAGATTTAAAAGGGGCGTCGTGTGTCGTGTGTATTCTTTTCCATGGTTGTCACACAAGGAACACGTCTTTACATTACTACTTTGGGTATGCTGACATGAAAAGCATATGCTGTGATTGTTTTCTCACGTTGTATTATTATAGCATATTATTATAGCTTGGGCATGTTGGTGATGGTACCTCTGGCAGCAACAGGATACGGATCTCAAAGCAAGAATGCTGTGCGTTGGCTCAATGGTACGCATGATATTGGATCTACAACGCAAGACTTGTTGATTAACAAGCTTTACAATGGAACAGCAGCAGCACAATATGGATGGCATGGAGATACGGGGTTTATTCGAGGGAAGGAGGCTATTGAGAAGTATCACAAGGTAAGGTTGTTCATTATGGGAGGATGTGTTGCCATACAAGTGCACTTACGATGGAAGCTATGTAGTGAAAGGATCAAGAAGGCTTTTCCTCGGTCATATCATTGGCGCGTCAAGAAAGTTATTGTACTGTGTACTGCCTTGGGGAGACCATGTTGCCCTTACCACCTCCTGTGGAAACATGTGCTCATGGTGCTATGGCTTATTGCAAGACCAATTTAAACACGCATCCTCTGTTCACTGTTGCAGCATGCGGATCCACGGCTCAATGTGGTGTCAAAGTCGACTGGTGAAGGGCTCAAGAGTCTCTGTTAAATCCGGTGTTTTGGCATCGCGCTTCCTTCGGGAAAGAGCTAGTAGGCAGTACTGGTACCTTGGCATTCTTTGGCGTTGCACCCATTTTTATTACTATTATTTCTGGCGGCGGCATTGCTATAGCGGATCACTACACCCTGATTGAGAGATCCAAGTACGTATCATTTCAACGTCTTTTGAAAGCTTTCTGCTGGGATCGAAGTATGCTTGTTGCTGACATCATGTGTCTTTTCAAGATGTGTCATCATTCATTGAGGTTCTCGTGATTACAGCTATCATTGCTAAGTATTGTTTACATGTTTGGAGGATTGTTTACGGTGGATCTTTTATAGGTGGATCATGTCAGGATCAAGAAGCGGCGTCTATAGTATCTTTCAGCATCAGCCTTCCTTATTATGTACATCGTTCGATGATTCTCGTTACCACGTATTGGACACTTCCTTTGATGTGCACTTCCAACAACAAAGCAACAACGTCTATATCTTTCGGTGTCTCCAAGCTTTATCTCTGATTGTGGTTCTGGTCGTCGACATTTCTTTTGATGGATCTCCTGCTACGCATGCCTGTTATCGGTGGATCATATCAGCAACAAGCAAGAAGCAGCAATGAGCAACAGAGACCATGTCTTTACCGTCAACAACATTTACTCGGTCCTCTGGTGGTCCTCGTTATTGACCAATTGCTTTCAAGAGCATTCTGCAGCGCATGTCTCTCATAGGTGTATCACATCAGCAACAAGCAACAATGTTATGTATCTTTTTGGCGCTATCAAGGTTTATCCGTCGCTCAAGGCTTTCGCCGTAAAGTATCGCCCCCTTCCTTTGGAGAAACGGCTACTAGAATTGGTCATTGTATGGATATCTATGCAGCAAGGAAATTGGTTTTGGTTGCTGGGTTACCTCAAAGCTAAATTAGTAATACTCTCATTTATAGGTCTATCATTCCATCAAGCTATCTCTTTACATGCTCTTTGATGCCATGGAAGCCTCTCCTTGCAGTTATCAGTGGCGATCCCTATAGCTTTGAAAGACGATGATCAGCATTTGGATTTGGGTGGGGTTCTCAGAAGCAAGCAAGCGATCACTGATATGAGGATATTGGATCATCATACGGATGTCGTTGTCAAGGATACCGTTTCCATGGTTGTGGAAATCAGCTATCTGCAACTCGCCTCTTATTGGTGGATCATCAAAGCAACGTTCGTTATCGGCGCCATAGTTTTCACGCCCTCATCATGTCTGGGTATCACTTTCAAATCACTGTACGTATGCCTTGTACAAGTCATCATCCCCATGCGTGCTGTTCGGCCGAGACATTCTTTATTTGTGGTGCGTGATGGTTGTTATTCTTCCTTAAGAGGGTGTCGTGTGTACTCACTTCCATTGCTACGAGAAGGGTGCTTGGCAACAAGATATTGATCTCATCGCAAGAAAGCTGTATGCATGCCCAAAAGTGCAGTTATTTCATTCGTTTCTGGTGCTGATGATGTAAGTATAGCTCCAATGACTCGATGAAGATTAGCGTATTCTTTATGCTGATGTGGGTCCTTTTATGTAGATGAACCATTGAAGCAATTGTTCTTGGTGTCGTTTATCAAGGCTTACAACCACTGCTGCTGCTTTACTGAAATGAGGACCATTGCAACAAACAACCTGTTTACAACATGTGCTTCTCGAGTCCCAAAGATTATAGCCGACATTCTTCACCATTATTCCTACCAGCAGCACGCACCCGGTGAATCGTCGCAGCAGCATTTCTTTTCATCATGTCCTTCAATGTTGCACAATCTTTTTTTGGTGATCATGTATCGTTCCCCTTAAAGGCATCTACAAGTATTTCTTGGACACCAACGTTATCGATCATCATATGGATTCGGTCGACCTGTATCATCTATTGCCTTGGGAGACCAACAGCGCGTATCTTGGTTATCAGATCACTGCAACAAACCTATTCACCATCCATCCATGCAAGCCGTGGTAGTTGACGTCGTTGACCCTTGTGAATCAGCTTTCTATGCATATTGGTTGCCATGTACTTTCCAAGGATGAGATCGAGTCGGTCCCAGTGGCACATTCAGGATTAGTTGTTATTGTTATTTGCTATGTGAGGATAAAATTGGATCTCCCGGAGTATGTAACAAATCCTACAAGAAGTAAAGTCTGCTTTCACCATTTTACTAGAGATTACTTAAGCAACCTTGCTGCGAGCTTCTTGTGATAATACTCTTCGTGATGAGAGCATGGATACATTGATAACAGCAATTACCAAAGTTGTAAAGGTGTGAGCCCTGCAACGTATTGAATGTAGCATGTAAAATATCATGTAATGGCCAACCTGTTCTACACTACCAGCAGTATCACACAAACACGCCCTTCTGCATCTTCGGTTCTTTAGGACTTTGCTGCTTGACAATGAACAAAGAGCACTTCTCGTATAGCATCACGCTTACAGCACATGTACAGCATAATAGTACCATTATCTCAAAAGGTTCGTAATTGTTCATGGGTCTTTGTGATGAACCTTGCATATGCGTTCGGTATCTACATACAGTCCTGCCAGCCCTGCGGATCGCTTCATCCAAACGTACATAAGACATGTTACTATAGAGAGATCAATCAGGGCACGAACACAATCTACAACATGATGATGCCGCGTCATTTATTATGCTCCACAAATATAGATAAACAAACAAATAGACGCACAGATTATATTAAAGGCATGTTGCGCTGTTATTGGTTTATCCAAATGTATTAGATTTATTGTAAATGTGGCTCCACTAGGATGCACTTGATCGTGTCCTTGATGATCGTTTTGGTGTTGTTTGCACTGGGGATGGTGTTTGTTGTGCTTTGTTGAGTGCCTGTAGATTATGTTTATCAGGAAAAGGAATCAAACCTCGTAAACTATCCCTTGCTCGTGTATACCTGCATCCTGCTTTTCATTGATTCTATGATATAGTTTTGACGTTTTGTAATCTCGTTTTTCAACTTGCATTCTCTGGTGCCTTTGGGATTCAACCATGCTAGCAATTGTTGGATCTATATATGGAATAAGAGATGGCTCAACTTGATGAAAAATGATCCTTTTACCTCTTCTGGTTCAGAATAATAACGCCACCAACTTGTGCTGCATCCTTCAGTGTTGTCCATTCTCTCCTCTAACCACGAGCTTTCATTTTCTAAACCATGGGCTTTCATGAGCTCAACGACGAACCAACGTCCACCACCGCGACCCCATGGTTGTTCAGTAAGATGTTCCTTTCGATCGCGCTCCATAATCATTTGAATATCCACATCACTTGGGCTTTGAACATATAAACGACCGGTGCCATAGGTACTCGATGTGCCAATATTGTCCATATACAAGTATCGGTTGTAAAATCTGTCGCGGCCTAAAGGTCGTATCCGCAAAGTGGAGTATTTTCGCATATCCTTTTCCAGCTGCTCCTCCTACACGTACATACAAGGTTTAGTTGACCTTGAACGTATCTCCATGACCATTGTAAATCCATACCTTTTTGCGTAATGCCCGTTCTTCTTCTTCCAATTTACGACGCTCCTCAGCCTTTTGTCGTAATTCTTGGCTTCGAGCTTTGGCTGCTTCACGTTGCTTTTGTAATTGTCGTTGTCTCATCTCTTCCTGCTCCTTGCGTTTCTGCTGCTTTTGTCGAAGTTTTTCTTGTCGAGAACGATGGCGACGACCATGACGTCTACGAGTTGCACTATATACCACAACCGAAAAACGGTTAAAGAAGGCTTTCTCCCCTATCACCCTTTAGCCACTTACGAATCGCTATCATCCGATTGCGCTGAGTCTTCACTTGAATCGTTGTTGGTATCAGAATCACCCTCTGATTCGCTTCCAGATTCCTCATCCTCGCTTGAATCCTCTTCTTTTTCTTCTTTATCCGCACGATCACGGCGATCTAGTTCTATACGTCGTGCAGTGCTATTATTGGAAGTATATATATTAGATCATGCATGCACCCTCCCAAAAAAGGTTACTCACAGGCTCTTGCTTTCTTTGTTCAATTCCACTCTTTGTCGTCTAAACTCGGTAAGTTGTTCCTGACATTGCTCCATATAGTCCCTATAATAAAATCGGTGAGCATCCGAATCACTCTTGCTTGTACCTCCTTTGTATACTTACTTTATAATTGAAGTTTCATTAACAGCCTCCATCAGAAAACTGAGAATCGCAAGTTTGTGCTTGATGCTCAAAGTGGGGTATTGGCGTTCTCGTTCTGCGGCTGTTGAGTTGTTCCGGGGGACCAAATGTCGTAAAATCAAGTCGAGATCAGGTATCAATTGGGGTGTTGCCGTATCATTGAGACAGCCGATCAATGCTGTTTCCCATCCTTTTCGATTACTTCCAATCTCCTTTTTGTCCCAATTCTTTCCCAATTTCAATTGCTCGGCATCTCGCCATCCACGTTCAACCTTGCCTCGTCGTAGGCGTGAAAACGCTGTATCCTTCACTTGAGGTGATGACGACGATGACGATGATGATGATCGTCCTGATTCATTTTGTTCATCCAACATATCCACATAATCCTCCATTGTAATCCCGCTCACAATATCGCTGACCGAATCCTGATTGCGTTCACTGATAATGGCATTAAGCAATGCAATGTTGCTATCGACCAAGATGGATGTTTTGGTATGTTGCTGTGGGCTTTGACATAAGACTTGCTCAAAATCATCAATGCTGAATGGCGTCAATTCGAGTGGATCTGAAAATACATTGAGGAAGGACCACACAGAGATGAATGTCTCGAATAAATCATCAGCAATGGCGGTATTCTCATGTGGGATTGGACGTGCTGCTCTTCCACCGCTTGGATAAGGAATAGTCTCGGGACCATTGTATACGTCAGGTGACATGTCAACCAATTCCCAATTGAGATTGGGGTCCTTGCGATAAATTGGCAGATCCAAGTCTTCAATAGGGTACTTGACTGGTATAGGCTTTCGCTTTTGTTCTTTGAATCGTTCCTCTTTGATGTGCATACGTCGAAATGGTCCTTCATCCTGCCGAGCCCGCTTTTCAATCGTATCCTCCTCAATCACTTTCCTTTTCCTAATCAGGTGTGCATATGCAAGATCACGTGCTTCTTGGAGATGCGCTGGCAACGTCATGTCGATTCCATAATGTTGAGCGACAACAGGCTATGATGATGATCCAAGTTAGCTTCCATCATCCCCACCCAATATCCAACATTCATATACTCACCTTGACAAGCCATGGTGCACCGATGTAACTATCTTTTTGTGCACATTCCCTTACAAATCGTTGCAATAAATGACGACAAAATACACGTCGATCTCTCCTATAAATGTAAATGTCAATAGTGATCGATAAAATGGGATGGATGATAATACCTTATCTCTTGGATTTGGACTATGCGAGCACAATTCTCAATTGGCATCTCATATTCATTGATCAGTTGAACGCGAAAACGTAGTGGGATGGTAAAAGGCACATGACGATCATTCATTGGATGCGATGGTAATGTTGTCGATGGCACATTGGCGTGGCCATTCATATCATAAGAAGATGGATGTTGCTGTGGTACGACATTGGGTGGTGGAGGAGAAGATGATGCTGATGATGAAGAAACTGGAGCTGGATGTAGAAAAGCATCAGGGAATCGCAATCGACCGTTGGGTTGACGAGGTATTTCATCGGTCTCTGATTCGGTTTCTTCAGATGATGAAGTCGTCGTTGTGGTATGTGGTGGCTGATCATGTTTGTCGAAGGGTCTAGGATGTTGTTGTTGTTGTTGGTGATGAATCATGGGAAAGATGCCAGGATGATCTGAAGGATAAACATCTAAAATTTTGGCAAGATAGCTGACACATAAAAAAATCCCACCTAGTGAGTAACACCATATATGTGTGTGTATATGCACACTCTCTCTCCATCCAACTACTTACACATGTTCTCCAAGTTCACAATGAACAACTTCCCCAGGAGCGAAATTGAATCGAAAATAGCTGAAGATGTCTTCCACCAAAGGCTCCAAACGAATCGTTTCTAAGCAATACCCCATATATGGATCAGCAAAATCCCCTTGTTTTCCCACATTTGACATGTATATCTCCTTTCTCTCTTACTTACGAAACTGTATCCGATGCAACATGCGTTTGCGCAAGGTCTCGCAGAATCGAAACTCGGCTCGGTTGTGTTCATCTCGACCTTCACTCTCCAATGCTTGTTCATAAGTGAGATTGGATCGCCCGGTTGCTTCACATGTCCAGATTGGTTGTCGATACATCAAGAGTCGATTAACGTATGATCTACACGCATTGAATCTCGTTAAGGATTGAATAAATCAAGTGATTGTTCCTGTATCCAGTCAACCATGCTTGGTAACAAAATAATAAAACAAGTGAAGCGTTATGCATAACAGTATACTCGCGTGCGATGTATATGGATGGGTATACCCGCCTTTTGTTGTTTTAACGTGTCGAGTTGAAGAAGCAAGCATTAGATGCAACGATGAGGAAAAAAGGATACTCGTAATCGGTGAAGATTTCGTTTGTGAAGCGCAGGTACCATACTTCCTTCCGCTTTCGTCGTGCGTCGTACGGTGGAGGAGCAATAAGAGGCACACGCTTGTTGTTAAGCAAGGGCATGTAATAGGGAAGGAAGAAAGAAAGAACTGTAAAGTAAACAAGGAGAAGGTGGAAAGAAGAAAGAAAGCCGACAGGGTGTGTGTGTACAACGGACAGCCAAACAAGCAAAAAAAGAGAGAGAGAGAGAGAGAGAGAGAGGTGTGAGTGAAATCACAAAGCATCGACGCTCGGTGTTGTTGCTGAGTGTCAAATTTCACAGGGCAACCACCCACCTTTCTTTGTCCATGATTTTCGCTACTGACAAAGAAAGCCACACTTGTCCTTTCCTTCTTCTTTTCCCCCATTCTCCCTCTTCATTATGCTGCGCTCGAAAGCATTCGTCAAACGTACTCGCAAAGGAAACGTCGTCAAGGTCGTCAAAGAACACTACCTGAGAGACGACATTACTTGCTCTTCGGCCGCCTGCAAAGCTTGCGAACAACAATCCCTTCCGATCTTATCAGCCAACCCACGCAAATCAGAGCTCGCCGATCGTCCTCATTATGTCATTCCAGACACCAATGTCTTTATGAATCAGGTATGGATCTATGGGTTCATGCGCGCGATCGGCTGGTATACTCATTCTTATTTTACAAGCTCGATATCATGGAACACCCTTCAATCAAAGACGTTATCGTTTTGCAGACTGTTCGTGAAGAACTTCGCCATCTAAGCCTTGCAGTTTATAACCGTCTCAATGCGATCTTGGCCGATAAGAACAGACGCTTCTATCTCTTTGCAAATGAGCATCATCGGTAAGCTCGAAAATGGATTTTTATGCATAGCGGCATTCATTTGACAAGCCAATTTTAGTGATACATTCCTTGAAAAGCTCAAAGATGAAACACCCAACGACCGTAATGATAGAGGTAAGAAACGTTTGCTTGATTCAGAAGCATCTTTGGTATTGATATGGCTTCTTATGATAGCTATTCGTGTTGCAACCCAATGGTATACCAATCATTTGAAGGAGAGTGGCATCTTGACTATTATGTTGAGTGACGATCGTGCCAACCGAGAAAAGGCTGCTTCAATGGGCGTTAAGAGTCAATCAGGTATAAATCGAGGTATTGAAAGGAGGAAAGGATGACACTAAATCAGTGATAAAATAGTGCGTGATTACGTACGAGGAATGAAGGATGTCCCAGAGTTGCTTGATATGCTTGCTGCACCAAAATCAGAAACCACGGAAGCGGACAAGATTGTTTTTGAAGAGGTAGGGTAGGCTGCATTATAGTATGACAATCTTCTCATCTTCATTATAGCATTTATCACCAGCACATATCGCCAATGGCATGAAGAAAGGAACTCTTATTCAAGGTAGTCTCAACGTCAGCCAGCATAATGTATTGGAGGTATGTATTTATTGGGCATGGTTTTCAAGGGAAGGAACAAAGACCAATTCCATTGTTATGTAGGCTACCATTGTTGGCAATGTTGATGGTGAACCAAAGACTATCTATATCCTTGGTCGCAAGAACATGAATCGCTCCATCCAAGGCGATATTGTTGCTGTGGAACTCCTTCCCCGAGATCAATGGAAAAAGAGCACATCACTTGCTGTCGAGGATGAGGAAGATGAAGAGAAAATGCATGGTGAAATGGATGCCGTTATGACTGAAGCCAACGCTATGGACAAGGATGAAGTCGGCGAGCCTACAGGAAAAGTGGTGGGTCTTATTCGTAAACGATGGAGACCGTAAGGATCATATGACCTTTTGCATGCATTTGTTTTCTAATGTTTTGGATGGCATTTTTAGTTACTGCGGCTTCATTGTCAAGAACTCGGTCCATTCATCCGAAGGCTCTACTGCAGCTGAACGAGTTATCTTCAGAGCACTCGACAGAAGAATCCCTCCCATCAAGATCAAGACGACGCAAGCCCACTCCTTATTGGGTAACCGTATTGTGGTGTCTATTGATAGTTGGCCCGTAAACTCTGTGTAAGTGGAATGGATCATGTGATGATTTACGTACATGCTTTTATTAACATGACGAATGATTTATAGACATCCGATGGGCCATTTTGTCAAGACACTTGGATCATCAGGAGACAAAGAGACTGAAACAGAAGTTTTGCTGCTTGAGCACGATGTACCCTATCAAGAATTCTCAAAACGTGTTTTGGATGACCTTCCTGCAGAGGGTGATGATTGGGTGGTAACTGAGAAGCACTTGACAACTGAGAATCGTCGTGATTTACGTCACTTGAACATTTGCAGTATTGATCCTCCAGGTAAGTAGCGATACAAATTTATGCAAGTGGCATGCTGACCCGCATCGGATTTTTCCCTCCTTTTTCCCCCCTTGTCAAGGATGTACCGATATTGACGACGCTCTTCACGTACGACCCCTTGAAAATGGAAACTACGAAATTGGTGTTCGTAAGTGTGATCTTCGATTTTACCTTTTCTCAGCATAGTAATACTGATCCATATATACACATTTATGATCTTAAACCCGATATAGACATTGCCGATGTGACCTATTTTGTCAAACCTGGACAAGCGATGGATACCGAAGCTGCTAACCGTGGTACTACCGTTTATCTCGTCGACAAGCGTATTGACATGCTTCCCGCCTTGTTGGGTACAAGTAAGTGCATTCTGGGATCATAAAGGGATACGCATAGAATGATTATTGATTTCCCAAATGCTGAATTTAGACCTTTGTTCCTTGCGATCTAATGTTGAGCGCTTGGCATTCTCGTGTATTTGGGTAGGAACATATTGTTTGGAGCATTATGGACAAAGTACTAATAGCACGTTCATGTATCTACAGGAATTGACTAAAGATGCGGAGATTGTCAACGTCGACTTCACAAAGAGTGTTATTCGTTCCAAGCATTCATTTACCTATGACGAAGCTCAAACACGGATAGACGATGAGTAAGTGCTTTGGATGAACATGTTACTATTATGGTCAAATGTTGAGTGTGTTGTCATATAGGCGTATGCAAGATGATGTTACGAAGGGCATCCGTATCTTGAATGAGCTTGCCAAGAAGCTGCGAAAGAAACGTATTGAGCGTGGTGCACTTACATTATCAAGCCCTGAAGTGAGATTCAATTTGGAAAATGATTCACAAGACCCAGTTGATGTGGAGATGAAGGAGCTCAAAGAAACCAATGCACTGGTTGAGGAATTCATGTTACTCGCCAACATCTCGGTGGCCCAAAAGATCTTTTCACATTTCCCAATGTCAGCACTTCTCCGTAAGCACGGTTCGCCTCCTGTCAACAATTTTGATACCCTACGAAAGGCACTGGGTGAAGTTGGTATCACACTCAATGTGGAGAGCTCCAAGGCATTGGCAGACTCATTGGATGCAGCAGTGGTAAGTACCTACCGTGCTTAGCTGGGTATGCGGATACTAATATTCGCTTCGTATAGCTTCCCAACGATGCTTATTTCAACAAATTGGTGCGCATTATGACGACACGATGTATGATGCAAGCTCAATACTTTTGCTCAGGCACAGAATCAGAAGCAGAATTCCGCCATTATGGTCTTGCCACTCCCATCTATACGCACTTTACATCACCTATTCGTCGTTATTCAGGTACGTTGTTGTTTTCTTCTACAACCATAAATGAGCTATTTACTAACATGCATCGATAGATGTGATCGTCCATCGATTGCTTCAAGCTAGCATTGATCCAGATGTCACTTACGGACAAGAGCTGACAGATAAGACCAAGATGAAAGAGTTGTGTGATGGTAAGTAGACGGATATGAATGTGCAAATGGCATCAAGCTTATTCGTGTACTTTTTTCAAGTCCTCAATCATCGTCATCGCATGGCACAAATGGCGGGTCGTAGTTCAGTGGAGCTGTATACCAACATGTTTTTCAAGAACAAGACATTGGTTGAAGAAGGTCGTGTTATCCGGATACTCAAGAATGGTTTTGTTGTGCTTGTACCCAGGTATATATCAAGATGCGCATATTATATGTACGATGCTCATGATTTTAATTTCTCACAGATTTGGCATTGAGAGCATTGTTTACACAAGCAAGGGTCCTGATGAGCCATCAGTTTTCATTTACGATGAAGAAAAGAATGCACTTATCGCTGGTGATGTGATCATCAAGATGTTTGACACGGTCAAGGTGGAGATCAAGGTAGAAGGTGATGAGACTGGCATGCGTCAAAAGATGCGTATGTCACTTGTATATCCACAGGTGCCTGGTCTAGAACCTAGTGATCAATCGGGCAAGAAGCGCAAGGCACAGGAAACAAAGAATGGCGATCAAAACACAAAGCGTCAAGCAAAAGCCAAAGTAGCAGCATAATAATAAAGGTCATTGTTTTTGTTTTTGTATGTAGTATACACAACCACGTATTCCTTTTTCAATCATAGTGATCTTATTAAGCGCACAATGGCACCACTTTAATTAGATGATGGATGATGGCCTCAAGCCAAAAGTCATTAAATGATTTCATTTTTCATACTATATGATTACTACGATTGTTTTCGATGATGATGGTGGTGGTGATGAGGAAAAGCATAGGGACGGAAAAAGAACATAGATTGGATGCCGTCGTATAAATTAACAACTAATTTGCGTATAGAGTAACAAGGAAAGCCATGCAGTGACAGGGGAAAGAGTAACAAAAAGGAGAAGTGACAAGTAATGTATGTAAAGATATGCAATGAGTGGATGTGAATGGGGAGAATGAGGAGGACAAGAATGATGGTATCCACCTAAGCGAGGTGCTGTGTTGTAGAGAATGCTTGAGCGGGTATATGAGCTGAGGAGGAGGATGGTGGTAAATGAGTAACAGCCATCTCTGGATGTGATGCAAGGTTGAAGCAATCAAAGGCACCATTGTCGTAACATCCACTGATAGAAATAGGTGATCCAGTCACTGAATTGGAACCTGATGATGCCGAACATGAGGATGATGCAGCAGCAAGAGGAGGGGTAAGTTGATATTGAGGTGTGATGGGGGCGCAGTCGAGATGAGAATCTTGAAATTGCTGATAGAAATCCATGGGAACCAAGGAGGAGGAAGAGGGTGCTTGAGGATGTGTAGAAGAATAAAGAGCATTGCTTGGGATAATGTCGCCGGCCGTGCTGGTGGCAGTGGTAATATTATCTACCATGTTGACAGCCGGCCACCTTGTTGATGCTGCTGCCATCTTGTACGATGACGTATCATTTTCAGAAACACGACGTTCTTTGTACTGCAAAAAAAAAAGTCAAAGAATGAGCATTGGTGATTATATAATCTCGCTTTCGCATTAAATACATACCTGAGATTGATCAATAGAAGGATCAAAAACAGCATCACATTGTACAGGGCAAGATTTCCTACGCATCATGTTGGGATCTTTAACTTGAGCCAGCGGATGGGTTGGCATGGTGAGCCATTCTTGGTCATCGTTTCCAGGGATACCCATGTGCACCAAATTGCTGTTTCCTTGTTCATACGATGCCGCAGCTGCCACAGCAGCTGCCATGGTGGCAACGGATCTCACATTATCTTGTTGCTGTTGCTGTTGCTGTTGCTGTTGCTTTTGATCATGATGTTGATGTTGCCATGGGAGATAGCCCCATGTTGGCTGGACATCCACATTACCGGTGGATGCTGTGGCATGTGATCTAGGAGGCAAATAGCTTGTAAAAGCAGGCTTGTCAGATTGTGGTTGCACATTTGCAAAGAATTGGGAAAAGAGAGCACATTGGTCCATATCATCTGTCTTCTGAGATGTGGTTGCTTGGTGTGGGTATGCATTTTCCTTGGTGTTTTGTCGCTGTGTATGGGTGTCATTGGTGGTTTCTTGATAGCAAGTGGTGTATTCAGAATAACTTTTACGCCGTTGCATCTTAGCTTTGGCTCGTCGATTTTGAAACCAAATCTGCACGCCGCGAGGTGTCATGTCAAGCTTTTGAGCAAGCACACGACGTACGGTTGCGTTTGGTTTTGGGTTCTCAGAGAAAGATTTCTCCAACACCTTTAGCTGAGCTCGTGATGTGCGTCTTCGATGCTTGATTTCAAAAGGATTATAAAAGGTTGGCCGAAAATCACCATGTGGGAGTTGATGAAAGGTTTCTAGCAAATAATTGCAATCGGATACACCATTAGACGATGAATTGTAAAAGCTTGTGGTTGCGGGGATCGTAAACGATTGCTCGAATGTTTGCATAGTATATCGATTGACGTGTGGTGGCGTATAACAGGTGAGTGGGAGAAAAGAAGCTTGATGGATGCAGATTGATTTGAAACTTGAACGTCTAGTTTATATAGGCAATCAAGGAAAGTAGCAGCAGTGCGAAGAAGACAAGGAGTAAGACAAAAAAAATTCCAAAGAAAAAAAAGGGGTGAAGGAAGTGGATAAAGGGTCTAGGAATAACACGATGATACTTGTGAGAATGGGATGCAGGTCCTTATTATTACTATCGCCGTTCTTCCTTTCTTCTGTACTGCTGTAGCTGCTTGAATTCTGGCGTGTTGATGTCCCTTACTACTAAGATCATCCAGGGAGGTGACACAACGCGGTTCCAGGGTAAGGCGGGTAGAACACCTGTCTAATTATGCACGTAATGGCAACAACTAATCCAAAATGAACAATAAGGGGTGAGAGCGCTTGTGATTGCAATCACACGTTTGACGCACACAATCGCTTTGTAACATCAATCATCCATTCGGTGTTGTCGTAACATGCTATTTCGCAGTAAGCAACCATCAAAGCCTCGAAAGATGTTGTAGTAGCTTATACAGCAATGTGTCAATCGAACGATACATTTCGGCTCAAAATGGTTATATCAAGAGTTTAATGACGGGGCTCGTTGAACCCACTAGCAATGGAGATGTATTTCTTAGAGTGGTATGTACATAGGACATTAGAGCTTCGAGATGTAGGATATACACAGTGTCAATTAAAATGACAACCTCCTCTCCTCTCGATATCCCTTTTCTTCACTCCCAATATTGTTCCAAGTTGCATGCTATACCATATTGCTGACGTGGTCCAAGCGATTTGTCTCCTTGCATAGAGGTAGCATAAAATCTTCGTTCGTTTTTTCTAGGAATTTCGTACCCGATGCAAATTGATCCCAACCCCTTTTATTGTCTGTGAGTTGTAGGATTGTACTACAAGCAACATGTGTAAAGATCTTCTCAAAGCCGATTTCATGGAGGAAGCTTTGAGTGTAGCACAATGGTGTTGGCCTGTGCCTTTTTCTCACGTCTCGGTTATTAATATGCAACTTGGTCCAAGTTGGTCATAACCCGAATGGGGACCCCTAGACATGAAACAGGAGATGTTCTGACATTAGCCGTGGATGCCGTTTAGGTCCTTAATGAAAAGTGTAACTTTAGAAGAGATGACAAGTATACCAACAACATGACGATAATCAAGCTCAACATGTCGCAATGTTAGTTTTCGTATGCCAACTTTTATGGATTGGGATTCAGGAGAAAAGTGTATATAGTATCGTGCATGCAGAATGACCCAATACGCATTAAATGGCCACGCAAACAAATCCAATGTGACATCCTTGATGGCAAGTGCTTCAGGTTTTTGTTGATGATGATCTTGGAGCCCGCCTCGCTGCATGCAGATGATTTCCCCCTTTCCCTCCCGCTCTCACAAACACCCACCGGATTCTTCCCCTGAAATGCTATGACCACTCGGCATTGGGGTATTATTCCTTTCCCCCTATTCAAATATCTATCCAAAAAGATGGAGCCAAGAAGCAAAATGGGATCTGCACGAATAATCCAGCACCTTTCCACCATCCAAATATGGGAACGTTAAGCCCATATGATGCGCGATGGTTTTACTTTTGTGTTTACTCGATCACCTAGCAACGTAACCCAAACCATCTTGTCATCCAGAACGTTGGCACAAGTAAAGGCTTTCGTATGCTGAGTGATGAATAACTCAACATGTGGTTTCTCCCATCTACAGATGAAATTTAAGATAAATAGCAGGAGCAACATCGAAACAAAACTAGCGATCTCCTAAAATTATTGATGAAGTTAATAGCCACCAGCGGTATGCATATCTCAGCAGAGACCTTGATACTGTAAGACGCTTCATCCACTATTTGGATAGGATGCATACATTTAGAGCTACTAAATGCTCTCCCTCTCTTTGCTCGCCTACGCATCTAAAGATCTTCGGCTAGGCGTGGAGCATCTCGATAGCAGGGGTTGACTACTTTATACCAGTGCCCTGATGAACAGGGCACATAACGAGGCCTGTTGCACTATTCCTGGTATCCCTTTCTTCGGTAATCCTGTTGTCAAATTAATCACCTACATAATACATGCCACATGCTTATAACACAATGACATCGTACATGATGCTGGACTTTTGCCACTTATCCTTTGGTCATCGGCTTATGCATTGTGGAGGCTCAGCTGACGATATTAGCAGTAATCAACATGCCCAATACAATCGCTACTGGCAAGAAGGGAGGTAAATGGGAGCAAACTTTAAAACCAAGTTCTCCTGAATGTCACCATACGGGACGTGCATCGATCGTGCATGTATATCTATATCACAAACTGTTCCCTATATGCACCGTATTCTCGTAATTCGGTTGGACGACATACCCACAATGGGGAAATGAGAGACCTATATGCATTAGCGTTATTTACCCAACTTTACTACAAATTCGAAGTTGGCGAGAAGGAACAAAAAACTGGAACGTCAAGCTTTTTTGGGCTTGTAAATCACACCTTGGATTTCCATTCAGCTTTTCTTACGATAGCCTACAAACAAATTTATGAAATCTATGATGTTAGCATGCCTTGGAAATAGGCCATTGGCATGATTGAAGATGCATCTCGCTTCGTGAGCATTACACTTGATACTGTGCCATAAAAAGGTGTGTGCACGTACATATGCCAATTCTTCTGAGAATGTGCATTGGTGTCAATGCCCCGTCAACTGTGAGCAAACGCATCAGCCCCTTCGGCTCTCTATGGAGGAATGCGAGTGCCCCTTGTTGCAATATGCTTTTTTGACAATGTAACCACCAACTCGGTAAACGCCTTGTAATGCTGCATACTTTGGATAAAGTTACACAATACACAATAGGAAAACAGGGGTGATCGTCATTACTTACCATTGACAGTTTAGGCCATCATCACATAACAGATTGCCGTTATCACGCCAGCGACGCCATCACACCAATTACTATGTATGAATTCAGGCTGATTGTTTACAAAATGAGTTTTTTGGTCAACGGAAATTGGACAACCAACGAGGATGGTTTATGCATATGCTTGCAAAAACAACATGAGCAATGCTGGCGCAAATTACAACCTCCCCATCTCAAGATAGTTTACTCTATTACATCTTCCATCACAAGGATGAGTATAAAGTTAACATCAAGATTAACGTAATGTATCTGGTATGCCATCATTGGCTGCCTCATGAACCTTGAGCTGCTCACGTGTCTCCTTTCATAAGTAGTCTATCGTACGACGTATACACATGTGCGTTCTGCATTTGCCATTTCTATGCATATGGTGAAGCACCACAGCTTAGTCACGGCAACTTGCCAATCATTTCTATTTGAGAGGTACAACCGATTCGTTGGGCAAAACCAAGTTTACTAGCCAAGCTTTCATGTAATTACGCTAAAGCAAAATCAAGAGGTAGAAAAAGGAGCATCGTGCATGTGCGTCAAAATTTGATTACGAGAAGCTAAGCCAAAAGCTATCTTCTCAAATGCGTGAATTGGATGTATGCTTCGCGATAGCCCACAATAGATCTGCAAATTAATTGAACTGTAAGATGGCTTCGATTGTTGATGTGAACCGGCTAAACACTCGATCCACATAACATTATCACAATGCCGCCTTAACAAGTGCAGGATGGTTGCCATGGTATTAGTAGCCTAGGAAATGTTGCCATGGCAACATGACTGTAAATTGCCAATACCGATTTTCATTGATGAAGCTGCATGTTGTTAATCCGAACACCCAATACCAGCGGCAATCAACTCTAATTCAAATTTCGCCAGGGCAAGGATTATCAAGATAAGAAGGGAATGCATTTGATCGAAGAAGCGTTGCCTAATATTATCAATGCCCGCGGTCCAGAACACCAAAAGCACGCCACTAATCCAGAACCATGTACATGGATAGATTAAGAACTTGAATGTATGTACGACGTCGTGGGAGGTTTCTTGGGCAAAGCCGCCTCTCAAAGATTATGCCACTTTTCCTCTCTCGATGTTGCAGAGAAGCTCTTTTCTCTCTCAGACGTACACAACAACGTCCATGGCCATAATTACAAGCACGCCTTGTGATGTATGCGATAGCCAAAGCAATTTTGCCTTACAACCACCTACTTACAGAGCACCCAGATACAAGGTCCTTACTCCATCCACCGGCCATTGTCATAGCAATATGGCTTTATGTGCTGCCCACTAAAACAGATTATGTGGTAAAGACCAATTTTGATGGGCTTACTTAACTCTATACATATCCCACTTATTGATTGTCCTGCTGTATCTTACGTAACCTACCATAAGGCGTGGTGCATTGTTATAAGTAGTATACAGGAGAAATCGATGTTTCAAGTGTGATAATCAAAATACAAACTCGACCAAACGCATATCGGTGATTGACAAAAATCATTTTCGTGGCATAAGAGCAAGGTGGGTTTGCAGCAATGAAGGTGCATCCTTGTGCATGGATCGATATTGGGTGATTTACATGTATGATGCTCTCCAAGGAAAAATGGTTCTTGATGTGGTCAATTTGCACTATTGATTGTGCATGCAATGGTGTCGTGCTTTCGTATACACCTGCTATAGCTGGATGATGATACTGAAATGGGCCACCTTTTACCTATCACTCAGCTGCATGTGTATGCAGGATAGCTGTATGAAGTATGAACGTGATAGCTTTGTTGTGCGGGGAATGCTTGTTGCCGACATTATCCAGCATCATGCCATGTGCATGGATGGTACGGCTTTTTTAAGTCCCCCACCTAAATCCGTGATAAGCATTTACACGTGTAAATGTAGCACTGTGTGTGATTGTGTATGTTGATTGTTTCTCTTGCCACCCCATTTTCCCCTGGATAAAATTGTGAGAGGGCGAGTCATTGCAGCTGCGACTTGCTTTACCCTTAATTTGCAATACGCATCATTTCCATCATGAGCTCTAATAACAGAAATGAAATCAAAAATAGTCCGAGCAATCGGCAGCGGATCCGATGGTTTGTTAGCCCTGTGATTATATGGGAATCATATGCCAAACTGTAACAACAGGGGCTTTGTAACCAGCGAAACGTGTGTGTGTCAAAATGAGGTCCCGGGCGACAAGAAAAAGAAACGCGTGCTTCTGTGTGGTGGTGTATGATAGTGAGCGTGCGTTGTATTTAAAGTTTGGTGAATCCGACACCGGATTTCATACAAGCTGCTGTTGTCTTTTTGGTGTTGAGCATGATTACGCAGCAGCTCTTGTGCAACAGAGTACTTTTTGTAAATCTTCAGCTGATCGTAAAGACACACACAACATAACAGACAGCAGCCTTTATTTTTGTTTCCGCCTTTGCTTTCCTTTTTCCCTTCTCTTTCCACTTTACCCACTACAACTTGCACATCCATTGTCAGCTTGTTGTTTTCTATTACATGTCTTTATCAGAGTTTCCTCATCATTCTGCAAGCCAGATACCATCATCATCAACGCCACGACATTCGCTCGATAGCAATACCATAAACAGGCACCACACTATGGTCGCACCTGTTGCAGCTGTTGATGTTCGTTATGAACAACAACATCTTGAACGACAAGGCCGTCGGGATCGTAGCTCGGTGCCTCACCGGATATCTGTGCCGAACCGCCGCTATAACTATCGAGATCCATTACCACCACCACCGACCCCTTCGTCTTATTACAGCTCGCTTTCATCTCCTCGTAGCAACAGCAAACAATCTTCTTCTGATATGATCGAGCTTCTTTTTACAAAGTTGTTAGATGCTTTGATATTCACTTCAGCCATTGCCATCACCGCCTACAATTATTGGACTGGATCCTTAAACAACAGTCGACAACAAGGCACTATCACAGCAGGCCCATCATCATCTTCGTCGTCTTCTTCATCCACACCTCGAACACCTTTATCCCCAATGACATTGCAATTTCCTTCTCCTGTTGCTGTCAATGATATTCGACCCTCGTCATGGCGACAACAACAATACAACATGCACAAGATGTATGATGACAATGATCCTCAACAACACCAACAACTCAAACGTTATTCTTCAACATCCACTTTGGAAGACTCTCGTCGTAAACGCACTTTGAAATGGGCTGAGAGTGTTTCGCATCAGCAACAACAACACAAACCCAAGACTCCTACCAAAGAGGTAAATCATTTACATAGCACGATGTTTTGTCCATATTGTATGTTAAGCTTTCCTTGGCGGGATGTGGTGTGTATAGAGAGAATACAACCCCGACGACAACAATGACGACGAGACATCATCCTCTACCAGCACTATCCGCATCAGCAGATCTAGCAAGAGACGTACACAATCACTTCCACCAGCACCTCTAAATATTCAAAACCAACATGGTGCGCAGGACGCCCATGAAAAAGAAGATGAAATGTTTAATCGTATGGAGGAGCGTTTGCAGTCTTTAATCGAACAGGGGCAAGCAGCCCTTTCCAGTCGAGTGGATGTTGATGACCACCTGGACGAGAACGAAATTGCCATGCGAAGGGCATTCGCAGCTAGAAAGAAATATAGTTTTTGATATCATTGATTCATTATCTCCCTCCCCCAAGCATTCTCTTTATTTATCAGTATTAGTACACACGCTCACACACATTCACACATAACAACCCCATGCCATATTATACAAGATAGTGATATATACCCTTCAACACACGTTTTATGAGAAAAATGATAATTGATACAAGCCTTTCTTAATGAGTGTGTGGCATACAAAGTCATGGTCTGCAAGAACATGTGAAAAAGAATGGGGAGAGTGGTTACACCAGCGAGCAGCCAGATGGCAGAAAATGCAGATTGGGATTTGGGATTGTGCTTAACCTATCTTTTTTCGCATGAGTCGATTTGCTTCTTCCAGACGTGTGCTCCAGCACCCTTCTTTTTCTCGTCCCACCTTACCACGTTTCTCAACACGTCCTATTGTCTCACCCATCGCTGCTACTCGTTCAATGTCTTCCATTCGCAACAACGCATCCTCCATTGCCAATAAACGCTTGTCCACCATTAACTCTTGGATGTCTCGACCCAACGCTCAGGTAACACTCGATGCCCTAATTGACACCCCCCTTTTTTCGTACCAACCCCTTGTCCATTGTAGATGTCAACTGCTGCTGCAACTGCTGGTGGTGGTAGTGGAGCCGAGGTACGTTATTACACATATCGAAAAGTTTACTGGGTGGGTGGGTGGGTGGCTAACACGCGTTACAAAAGGCCGCTGCAGAAGTTCTCACGGTGAAGAATGGTGGTGTCCGTGAAGTTGTCCTCAACCGACCCAAGAAACTCAACGCACTCAACCTGAACATGATCGAATTGATGTTGCCCGAGATTCAGGTATGTGTTTTTCTCTCTCTTTGATTACCTTGGATGCGATGGAAACGTGCTTATGCAATCAAGAATTTACGTATTCAATGTCATTCCTTTTTAGGCTTGGGAAAAGTCTGACCTAGCCAAGATCATCCTCCTCAAAAGCTGTGGTGGAAAGGGATTCTGCGCTGGAGGTGATGTAAAGAGTAAGTCATGATCTATTCTTCTCTGCAAGTTATCTCGAAGAGCTCACATCTTTTGTTAAGCTGTCGTTGATCTTGCTGCCGAGGGAAAACATGCCGATGCTCTCAAATTCTTTGAAGTCGAATACCAGCTTGATCATCTTATCGGCACTCTCAAAACGCCCTATGTTGCAGTCATGGATGGTATCACCAGTAAGTATGATGTAGGATTGTAAAAGTGACATATGGCTAACCTATGGCATTTTTTACTAGTGGGTGGTGGCGTTGGTTTATCGGTGCATGCACCCTTCCGAATTGCTACCGAAAACACCTTGTTTGCTATGCCCGAAACTGGTATTGGATTCTTGCCTGAAGTGGGTGGCAGCTTCTTCTTGCCTCGTTTGGATGGTCAATTGGGTATCTATCTTGGTTTGACGGGAAAGCGCCTCAAGGGTACTGATGCCTTGTAAGTATTTTTTGGGGGGAAAAGAAAGCATATGTGCTATCGCATGATATCATGTGAGCTCATGTTTATGGTAATAGCTACGCTGGTATCGCAACACACTATGTGCCTTCATCGAGACTCCCTGCCTTGGAATCCCGTTTGGCAGAGATCGACGAACCTACCTATGACAAGATCAATACGGCAATCGAGGAATTCGCTGCTGAGATGGATCAAGAAGCCCCATTTTCTCTTGCAGGTTCAACACGCGAGGCTATTGACAGGTAAAATAGTGTATTCAATCACATGCTTTCTCTGGTTAAACTTTTTCGGTTGTGAAACATGCAGATGCTTCAAGTTTGACACTGTGGAAGAAATTGTTGATGCGTTGCAAAAGGAAGACTCTGAGTGGGCAAAGGAAACTCTCAAGCTTATGGGTAATGTCTCGCCTACATCACTCAAGGTTACATTGCAGCAGCTGCGTACAGGTGCCAACTTGACCCTTGGTGAATGCTTCAAAATGGAATATCGCCTCGTACAAAAGTTCTTGGTAAGAGATAAGAGTTTTGGGGCAATAGCACATGAAATGGCATGTTGCTAATCAAGGTGGTATCTATTCAATATAGGAAGAACATGACTTTACTGAAGGTGTTAATGCTACATTGGACAAGCCACGTCGCAAGGCTGAGTGGAAACCCGTTGAAGTGGCAGATGTTAAGCTCTCCGAGATCAAAAAGGACTATTTCGATGCCTCTGATAAGAAGCCTTTGCAGCTGATTTCCGAGAACGACTATGACAAATACCCACATGGCAAATACATGTTGCCTTCGGAGCAAGATATCCAAAACGTGGTGACAGGCGAGGCGCCTGGCGTTGGCAACTATGCGTTGAGCCGCGACGAAGTTGTTGAATATTTTATCAATGATCGTAAGGGTAAGCAAGGTGTCAAAAGCAAGGTGTTAGATGTGCTCGCACGCAAGACCCAAGCCATCAAGAATGATGAAAGCAACAGCTTGAAATGGATCTATTAGAACGCATTTTCAAATAAAGCAAAATAGAATATGAACATCTCACGTCTTTACATATGCCTTAGTTTAAGATCCATGTATCTTCTTTTCTATCATCCCATCATGTATGTCTTCATAATGTACTCGTGCCACAGTATATCACAGCCCCTCTCTCTTACGCATACTGAATTAAACTTACAATGAATCAAGGGTCAACAAGCACGACTATGTTGTTGGGCATCATCACTCGAGCACCTATTACCTTTATAGTGCAAGCGTTTGAGAATTGCCACTACCTTTCGGATCATCATGTGAATTGAGAAGCTTTAGCAAATGCGACAATAAACAAAAGCATTCCGATATGATGATGTAAATGACCCAATCTCGCTTTCAGTCCTTCAAGTTTGTAGTCACCCTTTCAATCCAAAAACCAACCTAGTGGTCCACATCTTGCATATGTAAGCTTATAGTACAATACCCTCCTAAACATCATATTGAATCCAATTTTCCTTCAATGCATAAGTCGAAGAATAAGGCATGGTAATGTGGATGTTTATCAAGGTGTGATAAAGGAACAGGAATAAGCTACGGGTGAATTACATAGAGGCAATAGGGATAATTGTGTCATTGTGCTCTTGGTTGCTTCCTTCATAAACATCCTTCATCCATGATTGTAAAATAGCTGCTGCATGTATCGACTTGAGTATTCGAATACCATCGATGGCTGTAAGACACCTTTTTTCGTCAAAGATGTAAGTCTTCTCTTCAATCCCATCCAATCCATCACCATCCTCAGCCGTTTCCACGTGACATGATCCATCCTTCCTACTGACAACGTGACACATAACCAAAGTAACATTCCAGGATATCCCATCACTGCACTTGATTGCATCCATCCATCAAATCCAATATGTTGGTTGAAAAGAGCCATGTGATCGCTGCTGGTATGCTTCCTTCGATCCGGGTGCTGGTCTACCTCTTTCTTGGTCATTTTCCATCGCTGCTCAACCAGGCGAAGATTGCTTGTATTGCGGTGTGCTTGATAGCTGATATGGCATCATCCATTGGAATCCACATGCACCAAAGCAAGTTGCTACACGTAAATAAAGCTGCTTTCTATGCATGACTATCTGCTGTTCATGTGAAAAAGGTTGCAAGTAGAGTTGCTGCAAGGAAAGAGACAATGAAGTGGAGACCTTGCTGATGGCAGCTGCTGTTCTTTTGGTTGTGGCAGAGGAACGTGCAAGAGCATGTGTTGTAGTAGAATGACAAGGTTGTGAACGTTCCTTGGGACAATGAAGCGAACAACGGCTGCTGGAATGAATGCTGTTGCGTTTGATTGTGGTCGATGATTGTACAAGAGAAGGTGTAGTGCCAAGAAACGTGGGCGTTGTAGTGGGGTGCACACGCCATGGACATGCCATTCAGCCAAAGACAATCGGATCAAGACAAGTGTAGGATTGACATGATGGGTGGAAGCAGGACAATCGTTCGCAGGTGGTAATTGTGCTTGAATGGGGCCAATAGTTGAGAATGGGAGGAAGAGGGAAGAAGCGGTGAGTGAGTGGAAGAAGTGGAAATTGAAGAGGTTGATCTGATGTTGAATGACATTTCTTTGTTTGAACGTTGCTCATTCTTAATCCTCTCGGATCAAGGAAGTTGAAGAATGGAAATGCTCAGCAGGAGCAGCAGAATCTTTCACATGTATTGGATTGGGAAACAATGAGGAATGGGAGGAAGCGGCTATTAGCTACCAATGCTGAATAGTGTATAAGGTATCATCCATTACCCCTTCCAGTCATGCAAAACTGCTGAGTTACACAAACACGACCCTCTGCATCTTTTGCTCTGTCAGGTCCCATCTACTTGTCATTGAACAAAGACCACTTCCCGTATCGCATCATGCTTACAAACATAAAGGTGCCTGTATCTCCAGACTTTACAATGAAACGCGGTGTTTTTATTAGAGCAATGTGCTCGGCTTGGCCAACTGCACCTTGTGTGAAAGTTTCGCGTTCAATGTCGCAAACAACCCAAAAAATATTTTTTGGTCGTCGTCGTCGAAGAGGTCGACCCCCAGATCCAGTTTGGCTGGTGGCGACATTGCGAAATCTAGGATTGGCAAGCTTGATCGTGAAACTTTCACACAAGGTGCTGTTGGCCAAGCCGAGCCCATTGCTCTATTCAAAACCCCACGTTTCATTGTAAAGTTTGGAGATACAGGCACCTTTATGTTTGTAAGCGTGATGCTATATGTGAAGTGGTCTTTGTTCATTGTCAAGTAGCTAGACCTTGGAGAGCCAAAGTTGCAGAAGGACCTCTTTGGGTAACTCAGCTAAAAAGTCAGGACTTCAGGGACAATGCATGATAGGTACGCAACCCTCACTTTGATGTCATACACTGGCAGCTAATAGCCACTTTTGTGCATTCCCAACTTTGGTGCATTCTATTGTAGGTGGACGATGCTCCTGCTCTAGACATTCATTTCCATGATTAAAGTAGGTTGATCCGAGCTGATTTGGTTGAGTTACGCTCACACAAGATTACATCGGTTGAGCTACATCTAGCACGCTTTATGTCCAGAGTGATGTAACCTCTCTTTGACCGCAGCTCAGTCAAATCAGCTCGGATCAACCTACTTTAATCATGGAAATGAATGTCTAGAGCAGGAGCATCGTCCACCTACAATAGAATGCACCAAAGTTGGGAATGCACAAAAGTGGCTATTAGCTGCCAGTGTATGACATCAAAGTGAGGGTTGCGTACCTATCATGCATTGTCCCTGAAGTCCTGACTTTTTAGCTGAGTTACCCAAAGAGGTCCTTCTGCAACTTTGGCTCTCCAAGGTCTAGCTACTTGACAATGAACAAAGACCACTTCACATATAGCATCACGCTTACAAACATAAAGGTGCCTGTATCTCCAAACTTTACAATGAAACGTGGGGTTTT